CACTCTGCTGCCAGAAGGTTTTGGGGTTCTGCTGGGCATGCAGAGCGGGGCTGGGCAGGAAGAGTGGCACAGCTCCTGCTCTGCAAGGAGCTCACGAGGCTGGCTGCACACACAGAGCACCTTTCTTCCCTTTCTTCCCTTTGTGAGGCTCAGCACATCCCAACGGGAAGTCAGTGAGACACAGTAAACAGGGATATGCAACCAGGCCATTTTTCACAGCCCTTTTTTATTTTTTTAATTTTTTTTTTTTTTTGGAACAGAACTCAGTTTCAAAGAAGCAGAGAGTAAATAAAAAAGCCAGAGGAGCTGAGCAGGGTAAATCAGGAGTGGCTGCACAAACCTTGCTCAAAGAACCCACCCAGCTCTGATAATACTGAATTATATTTAACTACTATCACGACACATGGAAGCAATTACAAGCTCTGGAGTTATAAAGCCTTCAAGTGGCACGTTAAAAACCCCAAATCCTTGTGAAAAATCACCTGCCCCAAATCCTCCACCTCCCCTGCACCTGGGGGAGGCTCCGAGCCACCTGCTCCCCAGTTGTCACAGCACCAGTAAACAGGATTTTGGTGGAAATGGAGAAAAAAACAACAGGTAAAAGTTGTTTTTTCAGCTCAGGCAGGTGTGGGGCTGGCTGCTCAGGGGGAGCAGAGCAGGGGGCAGCCCAGCCACCACTCCAGTCAGGTTTGCTGCTCTCATCAGCCTCCAGGGCCCCAGCCAAAGCTCCAGGTGCTGCAGGGAGGGCTGGATTCCCTCTGGGGAGATGGCAGAGTGCTTCCAAACAGGAATCCCGAATGAGCTGGCCATTGCTGCTGACTTCAACTCTGTGCTCCCAGCACCATTCACCCCGCGGCTGCCTCGCTGCCAGAATCCAGGAGGTTCTGGAGCAGGAAAATGAAGATATTGAGCAGCCTTTGATGGGGGTGAGTGCAGCGTGGGATCTGTGGGAGGCCTGATGTTAAATCACACCACCACAGCTTTGTGCAGGCACCAATTCCCACCTCTCTTACCCCACAGGTTTCAGCAGCTGCTCACACAGCCAGGACAGGGCAGTGGGGCAGGATCTGGGGGTTATTGCTTCTTTTTCAGTTGTTCTTCCTTGAATTCACCCATTTCCCCTCAGCTGCAGAGACTGGGAGCAGAAATGCCCTTCACAGCATCCCCATGAGGGACGGGACTGAAGCACAGGAGGGACAGGGATCTGGAATCCTGCAGGACACTCCCAGATCCCCCAGTTTTCCTGGATAATTCCTGATCCAGTCCCACACCTGCAGAGGTGTCTGGCACAGCTGGTGCAGCCCCCACGAGGTCTCTGCTCCTGGGAGGCAGCAGGCTTCCCTGCCCACCTCCAAACACATCCAAGGCCCTGTCAGGAAGGATTAATTTTATCTAAGACAAATGCCAAAAAAAAAAAAAGAGAAAAAAAGGAAAACCTCACAAAACTCACAGCACCAAATATCAACCTCACTCAAACATGCAGGTGTTTTATTGCACATAATTTTTGTGCTGAAGCATGAGTGGAGAGTCATTTAATTTGTATTTGACCAGAGATTTAACAAAATTAAGATTCAAACCTAATTATTGATGGAAATGTAAAGCTTAAAGATCTCTGTCTCACCCCCAAGAACACACAGTGACAGAGGACTGGAATTGGGAGGGGGAATGGGGAGAGGAGTGGGGTTCTGGGGGTGGCTCTGGGGCAGGGAATGCAAAGCAGAGGGCTCCCACCTCTGCTCCCACCTGCAAATTCCAAATGTCCTTTGCATGACACTCTCCCAGCTGGAAAATCACCCTGAATGACACCCCCAGAAATGCAATCACAGCCACAGACACAATGATCAATAAGCACCGAGGGCAATCACCCTCACGCCACTTCCCAGCTCTCCAGAAACAAAGAGAAGCACGGAGCAGAAATGAAGTTTTACTCCATCAGAACTGAACTCACGTCCAGCGACTCTCAGAAGAGAGCTGGGATTCAAGATTGTTTTTCCTGTTTATTTTGTTGGCCACTCTGGAAGTTCTTTGGGTCATCCCATCCTCCCAGGCACCACCAAGCAGATTTGGGATCTTTGGAACTGAACATGAAAATAAAGCAAACTTCAGCCTGCAACCTAACGGGGTGATTTGCCTCATTAATTTAATTAAGCATCATGTATTAATTAAACTGCTGCTGCTGGCCAGTCTGGCCTCTCTGCTGCACAAGCACAGGGAGGTTTTATGAGGCTGGGGAGATTTTAGGAGGACAGGGACAGCAGTCCCTGCCTCACCTCACAGCACGCCTCCAACAGCTGCAAGGAAAAACAAATCAGCACAGAAAAGGATTTAAAAAATAACACACAAGTGCCTGGACCTTAAAGTGTTTCTCTGCAGAGATGTGATTTCACCTCTGGCCTTTGAAACGCTGCTCACCTCGGGCAAAAATCTGTTTCTCATTGCACACCTGCACACCTCACTTAATTCAGCAGGAAAGGTGGATGACAGAGAATTACTGGGTGTCTCAAGTCTAGCACAAGTGTCTTGTCCCCTGGCACTTTACCTGATTAATAACAAAATGAGCTCTCTAGTGAGGCAGACAGCTGGTTAGCCAGCCCAGCCAGCCAGGCAAAATGTGCATTTATCATCAAAACCAGCCTCTGAAGTTCCTCGGCCTCACGCATCCCTACCCGTGTCTGGGCACATCACAGCTGGCTGGCAAAGATGGATTCCTGCACAATTCCTCTGGAATTTGGCCCAGAGACACTGAATTGCTCCTGGGGCACCCCAGTGGGGTTTGTCCCCTCTGTGGCTGGGCTCAGCCCCTTCCTCCCCATCAGCTCAGGGCAGCAGAAGGTGCCTTTAACCACCCTGGGGAAAAGACAAATTCCCAAAGCCGGGAATTACCAAAAGAGCACCAAACACATCACAAATAAAGGCTGACTCTGGGTCCCAGCCTGGCTGAGCATCAGCTGAGCCTCACCAGAGCATCCACCCCCACACCAGGGGATGCTCTGCAGTCCTGTGGGCTCAGCTCTGTGCTGGTCCCCTCTAGTGACCCCATTTTCAGAGACAGGGCCACCAAACCCATCCCAATCAGCCCCTAAAGCTGTGAAAGCAGCCAGGTGGGATAAGCAGAACGCAATTTGGTTAAAGACAGCAGGGTTGTGAACTCTCCCTCCAACCAGCAAACACCACCCGGGCAGGGACAGCAGGAGCCTCCTCTCCAAACCAGCCCAGGCTCCACAGAACCAGAGCTCAGGCTGGAAAAGCCCTCTGAGATCGAGTCCAACCATCACCCAGCACTGCCAAATCTGCCACTAAACCACGTCCCCAAGTGCCACATCTTTAAACCCAGCCTGAACTCCCCACAGGGCAATACCACACCAAAATGAGCCTTGTAGGATTACAGTATTTCCTTTAAAAACCCCAAAACACAGCGTGCCATTCTCAGCACGTTCTAGGAAAGCTCCAGCCCTCCACATCCACAGCTCCTGCATGGCAGTTTATATTTGGAAACATCAGCCTGAGCGGAAAACAGTTTGATCAGTTCAGAGCCTGGAAAACCAAGAGGAAATCTCCCAGCATTGTTCCACCCTGGGAAGAGGCATCAGGACGTGTTGTTATTTATTTACTGGGGGCTGGGGATTCCCATTCCGGCGCTTTGCAGGATCAAGGACATCCTCACAGCAAAGCTCCCCAAAGAGGAGCTCCAAATTTGGGAGCTCCTGGCTGTCCTCAGCCACAGCAGCCACACATGGATGTGTCCTGCTGGGTGAAGGGGACAAACTGGAAAAAAACATGAAAAAAACATCGCCCTGGAGGGAAACTCCAGCGGAAAAAGGAGAGGATTCACTCTCACAGCACAGGAACTGAGCTCGTGTGGGCACTGGAGGTTGTTTATCCTTGAAAGGCTCCAGCGAAGTTACAGACAGAAAGTTTCCCTTCAAATTTCACCGCCAGAACCTGTTGTTCAAAAATAAAAGCCGGCACCGTGAAACGAACTTGAACTGAAATGAAATCAACGCAGGGGCAGGGCACAAACCCCATTTCGTTTGTTCTGATCGATTTCACTTCCCGATTCCCATGCAAATACCTGCAAAAACACCAGCGCAGCTCTCACACACAAAACAACCTGCGCTGAGCTGATTTTACTTCTTTTTTCTTTTTTTTTTTCCGTTTGTTTAAGCCTCCTTCCACCAAACCAACCAAGAACTGGAAACACTTCCGAGGATGGAGCCCTTTTAAAGGACCCAGATGGGAAAAGCACGATGAGAGCGGGGCAGGGCACAGGGCAAGGGTGGAATTGGGGTCCCTGACCCGAGCCCCCCATCACCTCCCGCTGCAGGGATGCAGCACCGGGGCTCGGGCCTTGGGGCAGCCTCGCAGAACCCCGGAGGTTCGTGTGTTTTCATAAATTTATTCATTTATTTTGCTTTGAGTCTTCCCAGCCAAACTTTCGTCCCGGCGCCCGCTCCTCCCGCACATCTCAGACGGACCAGCGCCTCCACGAAAACCCCCAAAAATCCCATCTCCTCCTCCTCCTCCTCCTCGCAGCCCTGTTATTTGCTTTTGTTTCGCCAGGGCTGTAAACACGAGGGGGATGTTTCCCTCCTGCCCGGGGTGTTCTCTGCCCGCCCCGGAGCCTTTCCCGGCCGCTGGACCGAGAGGAACCGGGCGGATACAGCCTGGGAGGGGCTGCGGTGTTAGCAAAATTAACCCACAAACACCAGAGGGTTACGTCCAAAAAGGAGACAGAGGAGTCCTTTTAATTTATGCCAGTAAAGGGAGAGGCTGTGGGGCATTCCCTTAGGGTCTCTCCAATTTTTGGAGGACGCAGCCTCCCTTTTTATCCTAATTTCTCGGCGGCATTTCATCCGGGAGGGGTGAAACAGGCGGTACCGCATCCCATCCCATTATCCCATCATCCCATCCCATTATCCCACCAAGTTGAGCAGAGCAGCAGCCGCATGCAGGCATCCCGGTGCTCCGGGGGTGCTCCCCGCCCAGCGCTCCCCTCCTACCTGGGACATCTGCGGCCTGAAGTTGATGTCCTTGAGGTCGATGGAGCCGGGGGACAGGTTGTGCAGCAGCTGGCACAGCAGCACCCCGTCCCGCAGCGCCTGCGCCAGGTCGAACACCACGGCCGAGGGCCAGACCACCCGGTGGTTCGGGGGCAAAACTTTGCAGTCGATGAGCCAGCGGCCGCACTGCCGCCACTCCTCCATGGCCGCGCTCCGCCGCCTGCCCCCGGCCTTCCTCTTCCTCCTCCTCCTCCTCCTGCCGGCGCTCAGGGGCCGCGGGCAGCCGCCCCAGGGGCCGCGGTGCTCGGCGGCTCCGCGCTACCGCCCCGCTCCATCGCCGCCCGCCGGCCCCGAGAGCATCGCTCCGCGCCGGGGCTGCGAGCGGGAGGAGGAGGAGGAGGAGGAGGAAGAGGAGGAGGAGGAGGAAGGAGGGCGGCGCGGAGTTTTCCGGCGGAGGGCTGCCCCTGCCCCCGCTGCGGCCCCACCGCCTCGGCCGGGGTTAGGCGCGCCGCATCCTCCGGGAGGAGGGCGGCGGACGGACGGACGGACGGGCGGACGGATGGACAGACGGGGAGAGCGGGGCCGCCCCCCGCCCCGCGCAACTCCGTGGCGGTGCCCTGTGGAAACTTGCGAGGGGCCGAGCCGGGCAGCCGCCGTGGGGGCGAGTGTTTGGTTCGTCCCTGGGCCGGGCAGCCCCCGGAGCAGCCCCCGGCCCGCCCCCGGCCCGCCCCGCCGCCCCTTTGTCTGCGGAGCCCCGGCTGCCAGCGGGGGCGGAGGGGCTTTGGCGGCGCTTTGCCTCGCAGCCCGCTTGTTTTCCCCCAATATTTTTCCCTTTTCCCCTTTTTTTATTTTTTTTCCTGCCTTTTTTTTTTTTTTTAAACTCACCCATCCCCTCCCTTATATCCCTCCTGTTCCGGGAGAGCCGCCCCGAGCCCCGGCGCTCTGTGTCCCCGCATTTTGCGGGGTCCCCCTTCCCCAGGGTCCCCCCGCACGCACAGAGCCCGCTTTGTCTGCGCGCTCGCCGCCGCTGCTCATCCCGTGTTTGGGTTGCAAACACTGCCGGCGATGTTTAACCCAAACAAGGCATCGTGTTCCTTGACTCTCAAACGGCAGGACAACTCCTATAATTAATTACCAGCGTATTTATTAAAAAACTCGACTCTCAGGCATTAACTCCTTGGCAGCAAACTCTTGAAAAATCTCTGATTTTCACCGGTGGCTTCCTTCCAAATCAGCGCGGCTTAGAGCAGCCTCTTTTCAAATCTGTTCTGAGTTTTCTTCCGAGATCCTCTCCCCAGAGTTTGCCGATTAATTTCCAGCCCGGCTTTCCATTTCGCCAGCGCCGGAAGCCGGGACTGGGACGAAGGGAAGCTATTAACCTGGATGTCAAACAAATGCAACACTAATCTCTTCCAAACGGAGCCAAGCGGAGATAAAGGAGAGAGAACTCCACAGCCATGATCCTTCCTTTTCAATGCAGGAAGGAGGATCTCTCCGGCGAACAGAAAACAATTGTTTCATGTTCCATGGAAAGTTTGGGGGGTTTTTTTTGGTAAGAAATTCTTTCATGGCGAGGTGCTGGCGGTGCAGAGCTCGGCCCTGGGCCGGGGCAGGGTGTGGGCAGTGCCATCCAAGAGGGAGCAGCATCCACACGCTCCAGTGTCACCGTCAGAGCTGCGCCCTGCCCTGCGAGTGCCCAGATCTCAGCCCACGCTCCCCGTACCCTGAGGAGCTGCTTTCTCGGAATGATTTTCTGGATCTTTTAGCTCTTCACGGGGCGTTTCTGCCCTCCAACAGCACCCACGGGCAGGGATCACGAGGCTACTGAAGGCACTGGAGCCGTGCCAGGGATAATTTTTGGTTGACTCAGAACCAGCCTGCCGTGTGAGGTCAGGTCTGTAGGTAGATGACAACAGAGGAGTTTATTGTGTGTGCATAATTAAAGCTGCGAGCCACAGCTTAGCTTTTTTTCTTTACTGAGTAATAAAAAGCATTCTTGGCCCCTGGACACTTGGGAGCAATCCCTGCAGCTGCAGAGCCAGGCTCTGCGTGGGAGGTGTTGGAGCAAGTACGCTCCTCGCCCACCTCTGCACCCAAGGGGCTGATGGCAGAGGTATTTCTGAGAGCAGGAAAAATAAAAAAACCCCAAAACCTGTGCAGCCAGGCTCGGGAGGAGCTGGAATCCAGCACAGTGAGCTCCAGGTTGTACAAACTGTCCTGCAAGAGGATGGGGAGTGTGGAGAGGACCCAGGCGCTGCTTTTATTGTGCACCTAAAAGGGAGCTTGAACAAATTAAAGAGGTTGGATTTTCTGCTAGAGCTGGTGCTCGCCTCTCCTGCCTCTTGGCACTGCTGGGAATGACAGCCAGGGAATGCCAGGGGATGCCAGGGGATGCCAGCCAGGCAGGACAAGGTCTGTCACCACCCTCTGCTGGGGACCCAGCGTGGAGCTGCTCTGCCCAGATTTTGCTCCACGGGCTTTTGCTTCAGCTCCTCGCACGAGAGAAGCCCGAGAGGTGGCTGGGTGCAGCGGGAAGGGGCTGGAGGGGGAATATTGTGCTTTTTCACCCAAAAATGTGTCCGTGTGTACGGACAAGGAGCCTGGCAGGCAGCCCCCACAGCTCGGGCCACAGCTCACAGGGAATGGACCCGGCTGGAGAAGTGGTGGCACTTGGGGAATGTCACAGAGCTCCTTGGGGACATCCCAGTCCTGCAGGGAACAGGCAAAATGGGAGGGAAGGAAAGAGAAGATTAAGTGCAATGACATGTTTTAGGACACCATCCCTTACAAATCCACCCCAAAATACCCAGGACGTGGCCACATTTCCAAGCAAGGTGCATTTTCTGCAATGTTTGGTGTCACTCCAGAGTTCTTTACGTGCAGAGAAGCAGCCACAGTGCAGCCCCTCTGTAAATACCCCTTAAACACCGGCTCCACGCCGCCAGGAAATCCTCTTTTCCCAGCCAGGCAGTGTCTGTGGATTGCCATTGCCACCTTCTGGATCAGTCCAGGCGTGCAGCCGGCTGTCCCGGAGCCGTGCTGGCTGCCAGGGGACGTGTCCCCAGCTGGAGCCAGGGTCCCCAGAGGGTCCCCAGAGCAGGAGCCAGCCCGGCTGCTGGCAGGGCAGCTGTCACACAGCCTACGTGCCATTTGCAGCACGCCCTCGCATTCTGCGATCTCCTTTCACCGACTATTTTAGGAAAGCTGTGCAAGCCCCAGCTCGGCAAAGCCACTGCTGGATTGTCAGCCAGGGGGGAAACCACAGGGCCACCAAAGCTGGGTACAGACAATAATCCCGTGTCTGCCTCGTCACACACCTGATCTACCTGCCCAGACAAGGCGCACCCTGCCACAATCCCTGCAATTCCCACCCTGCCACAATTCCTGCAATTCCCACCCTGCCACAATCCCTGCAATTCCCACCCTGCCACAATCCCTGCAATTCCCCCCTTCCTCCAGAGCTGCCCGAGGAGGTGACTGCCTGTCCCCATGGAAAGCAGCAGGAAAATGAACCTGGCACAGCTCCGTGCCAGGCAGGAGGGACGAGCTGGGCTCTCCTCAGCTCGGGGGCTCTCTGTTTAGCCCGAGGATTCTGACCCCAGGCACCAAGCAGGTGGAGCTGGCGCTTCCCTGGGCCTTTCCCATCCTCATTTTGGGATGCCCCAGGTGGGCTGCATACCGGCAAGCAGCAGTTAACAGCTCCCAGCACTGCTGGGACACCCTGGCTAATTGAGAATCCTACACTGGGTCCCACCCCAACAGGTTTCCATCAAAATCAGCCAGAGCTGGAGTGTTCACACTGGGCCAGGGGCAAAGAGCCCAGCCCAGCCCCTCACTGCAGCCCCGGCACAGCAGAGGAACAGCCCGGGGACACAAAGCAGAGATTTCCTGGGAGGAAGGTGGAGAGGAACCAACCTCTGGCTGGGCAGCAGCTGGGTTTCACCTCATCCATCCCTGCTGCTGCCTCCATGGTTTATTGGGCAGGTCCTGCCCCAGGGGACTCACCTTGGGGTGAGTGAGGGGTCAGAGCAGCTGGTGGCAGGTTCCAATCCTCCTCCTTGTCCCTCTCCACCCCCCTTACCAAATTCAGTTAGTTTGGTGATGACACAGCCAGGAATTTTAAAGACAACACCAAAAGAGCCTTAAAAAAAAAAATAAATCTAAATCTTGTCTACTAAAGGATTTTCCACTTTTTTTCTGCAACTTCCACGAGGGCTGGCTTCCCTGCACTAGCAGGAAGCAGATTAAGCAGCAGAGTCAGGATATTTCTGATAATAAACATTTCAACAACATGCTCATTCCTTTTTTTTTAAATTTTTTTTTTTCTTTGCTTCCCTCTTCTTTGTGTTTGGCCTAAATCTCCTGGGAGCAGAGAACTGCAGCATGCCTTCCCTGTGAGGGGAGCAAACCACAGCCTCTTGTTTGTGTCCGTGAAGGAACCCCCAGGAGCAGCTCTGGAGCAGCTCTGCTGGGGAAATGCACCGGGCCCTTCGCAGGAGATTAGATGGCGCTGCCTTCACAGAGATAAGAAGATTGGGAGCTTAAATTTAGCATCATCAGGAAAAGAATAAGCCCTGCAGCTCTCTTCAAAACATATTTCTGTGCTGTGCTGGCCGGGATGAGAGAGGAGCTCGGAGGAGCTCAAGGAGGGGCTGCTCCTTTCCCACGGTGGCAGTGGCATGAGGCTGGCAGCACACAGGGGTGGCCCTGCCTGTCCCCACCCCATGGCTGGGCTCCCCCAGTTCAGCCCCAGTGCTCCCAGTATGGGCTCAGCACAGGCTGGGCTGGGTGTCCCTTTACAACACTGCACATCCAGAGCTGGGTGACACCCCTGGGACTCTCACACCCAGCTGGGGGGGCTTCACTGCCACACCTGGGCCCACAAACCCACCTTGGGGAGCCCCACTGCCATCCCCGGACCCACACACCCCACTGGGGTACCCCTCTGCCATCCCTGGACTGACATCCCCACTCAAGGTACCCCTCTGCCATCCCTGGACCCACACCCCCCACTCGGGCACCCCACTGCCATCCGCAGCCCCACGCATCCACAGTGGGGTGCCCAATATCATACCCCATATCCCCGCACCCCTTTGGGGTACCCCACTGCCATCCCCGGCCCCACAAACCCATCCTGGGGTACCCCACTGCCATCCCTGGACCCACACCCCCCACTGGGGCACCCCTCTGTCATCTCTGGACCCCACAATCCAAAGTCGGGTGCCCAATATCATACCCCATATCCCCGCACCCCTTTGGGGTACCCCACTGCCATCCCTGGACCCACACACCCCACTCGGGTACCCCAATGTCATCTCCAGACCTACACACCCCACTAGGGTACCCCACTGCCATCTCTGGACCCCACAATCCAAAGTGGGGTGCCCAATATCATACCCCACATCCCCGTACCCCTTTGGGGACCCCACTGCCATCCCCGGCCCCACAAACCCACCTTGGGGTACCCCTCTGCCATCCCAAGGTCTACACATCCACTGGGGGATCCCACTGCCATCACCAGACCCACACACCCCACTCGGTCACCCCACTGCCATCCGCAGCCCCACGCATCCACAGTGGGGTGCCCAATATCATACCCCATATCCCCGCACCCCTTTGGGGTACCCCACTGCCATCCCCGGCCCCACAAACCCACCGTGGGGTGCCCTCCGCCACCCCCACGCCCCCTCGCTCCGTTCCCTCCCCGGTCCCTCCCCGGTCCCTCCCCGGCCGTGGCTCCTCCCGAGCGCATCACGGCGGGCGGAGCCTCCGCGGCCGCTTGCGGGACCCCCGGCCCGGGCAGGGCAGGGCAGGGCAGGGCCGGGCGGTGCGGGACACCCGCGGGGCCGCTGGAAGGGGCTGGGGGCGGCCGGGGGATGGGGGGCGCGGGAAGGGAGGCTGGCAGGGCGGGGAGCCCCGGTGTCAGCCCGCGGGGTGACCGTGCTGTGCCCCGCAGGTGCCGTGCGGAGGTGCCGGGCTGCCCCCTTAGCCCAGCTCGGGTACCACAAGCGGGGCCGAGCATCTTCTCCTGCATCCCTGGGCGCGTGACGTGGCTGCCGTCCATCCGCGGGGAGAGGCCGTGCACAGGCCTGGGCACCGCTGACCTCCGGGCTCTGACCCCTTCGGGATCCGTTCTCCAGGGAATTCAGCTCATCTGGGCCTGTCCTGCCCGGCTGCTCCTATGGAGATGCTTCATGGAGCGTCAACAGACAGCACGTGCGGGCCCTCCCCGGCACGGAGCACGCAGCAGTAGCTGGGTGAGCTCGCAGAAGTCCTGCTGTGGTTTGTAAGCAAGGGCAGCTGTGATTTCAGGGCCCTGCTCCCTCTCCCGAGCGCCGCGCCCTGGGATGCTCCCCCTTGAGCTCCAAGCAGCCTCCATCACCCTGGACGGAGCCACTGGGAATTATTTGGGAGCTGCTGGGAAGGAGCTGTGCCGGGGCAGATGAGCGAGCCGGTGATGAACGGGAGGGTGCCCCTGCCCGAGAAAGCCCTGTCCGAGGGCTACGCCCGCCTGAGGTACAGGGACACGTCCCTGCTCATCTGGCAGCAGCAGCAGCAGAAACTGGAGTCGGCTCCCCCCAACACCTACCTGAGCCGCAGCAGGAGCATGTGGTACTCGCAGTACGGCAACGAAGCCATCCTGGTGCGGGACAAAAACAAGCTGGATGTCTCCAGGGACACGGGGCAGTCCAAGTTTTGTGCTATTATGTAATTCCCGGCAGGAATCCGCACGTGGAGAGGAAGCAGAGCTGGGGGAGGTGGGTGTGCACCAGCCTCTCACAGCCCTGCACAGGAAGCAGCGTTGCAGGAAGGCTGAAGCTGGATTGTTTCTGTTTGGTTTTGCTGTTTATAGACTCCCGTTCTGCATGTCACTGAGTGTGTGCAGCCTGGCTGGGGAGCTCTCAAGCCTGTTGCTGCCCAGCATCTTGGCAGGGGCCGTGCTGGACCATGTGTTGCTTTTAAGTGTCTCATGTGCCCTGAGAAACACCCGCTGGCACTTGGGCACCGTCCCCAGCCACCCTTACTGGCCAGCCCTGGGGCATTTCCAGAGCTCTGGGAATGCTGGTGGGACAGAGGCGAGCACAGATCTGCTCCCATCAGGGCTGTGGTTTTAAGAAGTTGATCTCCAAAACCATCTGGCCATTACTTGTTCTGTTTGCCCTGTGTGTATTTAATTCCTGCCCTGAAGTGGTCTCTTCCAGCCAGGGAATGGAGTGGTTCACTGTGGGAACGGGGAGAGAATGTGTTGAGAATTTAATCCAAGCCTTCAAAACACCTGGTAGGAAAGGGGTGCTGGAGTTTTGTGCAAAGCCAAGGGCTCTCTCTGATCCCACAGTGTGGGATCATGGAAACAACAGGAGCTCTGGAGTCCTTTCAGGCTGATCCCACAGTGAACCACCTGAAAGGGAGGGACAGGCCCAGGAAAGCAACAGCAAGAAACCCCTGTAAATGCACACATGTCCTAAGGGACACGAGGAAACTCCTGCAGAGCACAGAGCCACTCCTGAGATGGCTACAGAAGGAAAGAGGCCACTGGAGTTTGCTTTGCATTCAAGTTTTAATGCATGCAGTAGCTTGGAAGGGTTTAACTTCTAGTTCAGGTTGGATTGTAGGTTTGGTGCATGTATTTTAAAAGTTGTGTCTAGGATTATGATTAACTGCAGGATTTTAGGAGGGAGAAGCAATGCCCTGCTGGGGCACAGAGGCTGCTGCTTTCAGGTTTAAGTTTCTGCTGAATCCTGACTTGCTCAAGGCAAGATCACACTGAGAAACTCAGCCCAGCAAGCACCTGAATCTTTGTTAAAAGCAGAAATACCACTTCCAGGGGTGTGAATTACGTACCCAGGTTTCAGCATGAAAATTCTTCAGGGTTCTGCCCTTTCTGTCCTGCTTAGGCCATGTGTACAACCCAGCAGTGCCTGGGCACAGGCTTAGCTCCAGGCAAATCAGCATTTGATGTCAGCTTCAGGATGGATTATTTACCTGCCTATTATTAGGCACAGTCATTACTTCTGTTCTATTTATCTAAAACCTCCTTTGCATTTTTTTCAAGCACTTTATTTTATTTATTTTTTTTAATACAATGAAGAATCTCTTCCACCTCTCCCGTGTGGGTGAAATGCTACAACAAACCCACAGACACTCAACCTTGCTGAACTCGATGTTCTGAGCAGAACACACCTGTTCTGGAGTGGAATCATAGAGGTTTGGTGTACTCAGCCCTGCTCCATAGCACTGCAAACAACAGGCAGCTCGTTGTTTTTCTAAAAGCACTATTTCTGCATGTGTTGGTGTTCGATACCTTGTGTGTGTGCGCTCATAGATTTGCACCTCGCTGCTTTGCAGACCTGTGCGTTGCTCTGCACACAAATAACCCTCTTGCTTTTGTCAGGACTAGCTCTGGAGGAGAAACCATTCAGTGAATAAATGTTTTTCCGGCAGTGCAAGCGTTCAATGAGATTCACAAAGCCAGCGAGGCTCGGCAAGGCGCCGGGGGAGCAGTGCCAGGGATGTGTGACCCACCCGGGCCCCCAGCTCTTGCCTGAGTGAACAGGAGATGCTTCACTCAAACAAGGGGCTGGGCCCAGAGCTCCCCTGGGATCTGCAGGTGGATTCACCTGGAGAAGCAGGAGAGGTGGGTTCCAGGCCAGCCCTGGGGAGCACGTGAACTCTGGGAGTTTAAGGAACAGCACATCCCCCAAAGCAGCTGTTCGTTTTCTTTTCTTATAGAAAAAGAAATCCAACACTTACTTTCTTTTTAATTTCAGTAAGGAAGATGCTTATTTTGGGTATAATCAGTCTCTTTTTGTTAACGTGGCTGGTAAACCAAGATTCAGTTATTTTGCAGAGTGTTAATTGGACTATACAAGACTAAACCCGTAAGAATGTGCATAAATTCTTCCAGGATGGATGCTGGATGTGACAGTGCAGGAAGAAGAGGATGAGTTGTCCTTCCATCTCTGTGAATGTGACTGTAGTTTTCCATTTCTGTGTGCCACTGGTCACAGCAGGGTTGCTGTGGCTGTTCTGTGAGCCAGTTGTGTGGTGGTGATGCACTTGTTTCAAACACTGTCGTAGCCTCTTTGATAAAGTGCATTAAAATGATTTGAATGCAGTTTGGTGAATGGCTGTTTTTCCCCTGCTCTGGCACAGGTGACAGCTTTTGGCACTCCCCTTTTGGGAGGGAGGAATCCCCTCAGTTACTGTGGGGCTCCAAACCCACCCCACTGGACTGGGAGCTGCAGGGGAGGCTGCTCCAGCTCCCCAAGGCCAGCAGCACCTTCAGGATAAGGAAAGCTCTGGCTGTCACACTGAATGAGGGAATTATTATGAGAAAGACCTCAGAGATTGTCACACCCAGCCTGTGCCTGATCCCCGCTTTGTCACCAGCCCAGAGTGCCACATCTGGGCCTTCCTTGGGCCCCTCCAGGGATGGGGACTCCAACCCTCCCTGGGCAGCCCCTGGGAACCGTTTCCTCGGAGGAATTGCTCCTGCTGTCCAACCTGAACCTCCCCTGATGCACCCTGAGGCTGTTCCCTCTTGTCCTGGGAGACCAAAGCCCACCTCACAACCCTGGTTTAGGCAGCTGTGGAGAGCAAGGTGTTCCCTGAGCCTCCTTTTCCTCCAGGCTGAGCCCTCTTGGCTGCTCCTCACAGGACAGACTTTCCAGAGCCTTCCCCAGCTCTGTTCCCTTCTCTGGACTCATTCCAGCCCCTCACTGTCCCTCGGGCAGCCCCAGGATTCATGGAATGAGCAGTGAGTTGAACTTCAGTCGTGTCCTGTGTGTTCTCAACCTCCTCCCAGCCTGAAGAACAGCTCTGCTCTCTGCCCCCAGAAATAACTCACCTGCAAATCCACAGAAATATCCTCACCTGCCTCACAGGACACTCTTTAGGGACAGCTTGGACAAAGAGCCCACGGGAGTGGCACTGGGACCAGAGCACAGAACAGCTTTGCTGAAGCCTTGGAGGGGCAGTGAGCAGGAACAGGGTTAGACAAAGATGAACCCTGGGGCAGCCTGTGCTAACCCACCTCACACACACAGCAAACAGCAAAACCAGCCCCAATCCTCTCTGGTGACCAAAATAGATGCTGGCCCCCACACAGCAATGCCAGGACTCTGCTGGCACTGGCAGCAGCTGCTCCAAGCTGTGCCTTCCAGGTCACCCTGAGCTCACAGCAGGTGACAAAGTCCCTCTGCTTCCTGCAGGTCCTGCTGCCTTCCAGGAAGCCAGCAGCAAACCTGGGTGAAATCTCATTTCTTTTCAGCCCAACTTACCTCCATCAGGAGCAATTCTCACAGAATTTAAGACCCTGCAGACTGCAGGATGCTGGGAAGAGCTCAAGCCCTTCCTTGGCTGCACTGGGACATGGAAACAGCTGCTTCCCTCACCAGAAAAAAGGGATTTAAAGCAGTTTTATTCCAGGTACTCAGCCGTGATTCAGACACCCCAGAGCTGCCCCACTCCGAGGGCAGTCAGCCCTTTGAGTGTGACATTCCCTAAAATAACTTCCAGATTATTCCAGGACTCGTGGCACCAGGATTCAAACCCCTGATGTTTGGCTCCTGGCACTGCCCAGTCCACGTTTGAGTGCCACACCTGGAAAAGATGAGGAGAGGGGAAAATATGGGATCAAACTGCACACACCAAACAATTTTTCTTTTTATTATGAAAACAAAACGAATGCCCCAGGACCAGGGTCCGTGATTACCAGTAACATCAAAGATTACTTTCTAACTCTTTTTTAATTCTGTTTTGTTTGAGGCCAGCAATTTGCAATAAACAAGCTAAACTACTTACATTGACTCATTTCTTTTCAATAACTGACATTTACAGGAATATACTAGAAATGGCACTAAAAAGTTTTAAGAAAAAGAGTTACGGTAAATTTGCATGCACATCATACAGAAAAGTAACAATTTCTTTTTTTCTTTTAAATATTAAAAAAACCCCAAAATAACAAAACAAAAAATACAACAACAAATCTTTCTGGATTGGTTATGCCAGTATCAGGGCTGTGTTCTAAGTGGCCTGTGTCAAATCCTAGCTGGTGGTTTAATTTCTTTTTTAAAAATGACATTTTAAAAAGATATGCAAATACCATTTTCTTTACAAAATGCAGCTCAAGCAAGATAACGCTGCTGTGTAAGGAATCCTAAATTTCTCTTTACTGATGCAGAGCCTGCCCACAGTTAGCCCTAGTGGTAACTCTCACAGTTGAGAAGAGACTGAGAATTTAAATCCAGTACTAAAAAGGTTGTGGTTCGTCTTTGTCATGCCCCGATCCCTTCCCCTCAGCTCCAACCCCAGCTTTAAAAAAAACATCATTCCTTTCAAAACAAGGAAAAAAAAAACCCCAAAATTAAAAACTGCTCCCCAAAGCAGAGAAAGAACTAGGTTAGGTAACTGCTGCTACCACACAGGGAAGAGGGAAGAGAGCTCAGGGGGAAATGATGCTTGTGTGTGTTTGGGGCTCACCACCCTGCCAGCAGTGACACAGCCCTGAAACATCCCTCCCACACTTGCAAACCCTGGGGTAGGCAAGGTTCAAACCACACCAGTACAAAAATTAAAATGGTTTTGTTGTTTTTTTTGTTGTGGAGGTGACACATTTGGTGTGCAGAGAGCTGAGAGACTCCTTCGGTCGCTGGGATGGGGAATCTCCCTCTGGTCCCACTGAGCCACGAGACAGGCTGAGTTTACAATCAGAGAAAAGGTTCACAAAGTTTTTAAAAAGGTGCAGTAATGCTGGTTGATTGAGAAAGGTCTGGTCAGATATTTTGTCAAAACAGGAATTAGTCCGAAAAAAGCAGTTTCAATAAAACTCTGTGTGTATGCATACATATGAAATCATACTGATTTCAGTGAAGTTTCCCCTGGAAAACAAAGTTAAACTTTGTTCATTCAAGAAAAATTCTACCATAAAAATTTAATTTTTTTCCTTTTTTTTTTTTATTCTTAAGTTTAAAAATGTCCTTCAAACGTTGTGTGTTTGATCGTTTCCAAGTTATTTTGTGACATCTGGACTGACGTGTCATGCAATAAAAGCCAGTTAAATAAATGCTCTGTTGCTTCAGTTCCCAACTCATTCAGGACTGCTCTTTCTTACTCTGGACTGGAAACATCTTTTCTTTCCTGGAGAAACTCAGGATGTACAAGAGGCACCCCCATGGACATGGTGGGGATAACGAGCACTACAAACAAGCTGGGAATGGAGAAGTGTAAGGACAGCATTTGGAAGGGAGGAGTCACCAAATTCTTCCCTCAGTCATGCCAAAATGGATTTCTCCCTGCTCCATTTTGTTGGGAACACCTCACTTTCCACGCAGAGTTTCCCAATAAGTGGAAGCCCAAGTTGCAGCTGGTGGATCAGAGATGTGCAGCAGATTCTTTTCGTTCCGTGGTGGCCTTGGCAGGTTGTTTTCCTGGGAAAGCCCCAGGCTGGGATGGTTTTCCAGCTCCAGCAGGGATCCTCCTCCAGCGCTGAGCAGCCTCAGGCCACGCTTCTCCCATCACCTCACACCTGGCTCTCAGCCTCTGGCTCCAGCTTTCCCAGCTAATTTTGGTGGGGCAGCCCCGTGGCTCCTTGAGGGATGTCTGTGTGTTCCAGGGGCTGTTCCTGCTGTCAGAGGACGGTGCCAGAGCTGAAATTCCCAGGATTTTTTGTGGCAGTGATGCTGTCGCCTCCGGTCTGTCCTCCCCACAGCAGCCACCACCACAGCTCAGGGTCAAGCACACAGGAAAAGGTCTCAGGAAGGGAAAACTGGGAGTTTGTTTATCCAAAAGCCATGGCAGTGAATTGGTTGCAATTATTCCTTAAAATATTCCTTGGTTTTGGTCATTCAAGTCGCAGGCAACAGGAGAAACACAGGTGAAACCCAACCCCGTTAAAAAGAAACCCAAGCTCTTAATCAGGTGAATATTACATTTCCTCATAGTAAATTCTGAAAATATATTACCAGGGATCTGTTTAGGGGAAGGTTTTGTAAGGGTAGAACTTAAAAAAAAAATATCAGAACTGAACTCCATTGTTAATGGAAAAGAAAAATCATGATTCTGTGCTTCTGGGAGAGCACAGAAGGTGAAATTTAGGGCTACCCCACAGGGGAGAGGCAGTTTTAGGGGCTGGTGCTGGAGATGGAAAGGCAGAACTTTCTGTTAAATTCTGTATATTTTTTTTCTTTATAAGAAAAATAATTTACAATAAAACTTCTGCCCCTCAGATTACAAATTTGATATAATTGTAGAACTGGTGTTTTCCTAAAATTAGATTAGAAAAGGATCAAACCCCCATTGTTCTACCAAAACAAAATAAGAGGGGAGGAAAAAAGACCACTGAGAAAATAAAACTGTATTGAAGTATATGTCTCCAAAATCTGTACAAAACAGGAAAAAAGGGGTCTGGGGTGAAAAGTGGAGGAAAAAAAATCTAAAAATGAACACACCAAACATGACAGAGCACCAGACACACGAGAGACTGGACTGTAGCACCTGTAGGTAGAAAGTCCAAGGTATATAAATAAAGTTGTGGATTTTTATTTGCTTTGTTGTTTGTTTTTTAAATCTGGTTCAAATCTCATTAAAAATCTTCCTGTCTGCTGGCCTGCAAAACCCCAGCTTTGCTTTTGTTAGGTTTTATTACATTTTAAACGACCAATGGTGTTTAATAAATAAAGTCATGGTATGTACATGAAATTAGGGACACTGAAACCAGGGTGCATTGCAGCAGTGCAGGTCAAAATGTTAGGCTGGACTGAAAAAAACAGCAAGCTTTAAAAAAATTTGCTTTTTAAAAAATTCTCCCTCCCCTCTTTCTTCTTTTCACTGAGGTAAAACATTTCAGTGCCTGGAACTTGAGCCCTGCCTGACACAGGAGGAGCATCCCCCTTCCCAGGAGCTCACTACCAGAATGATGAGGAGAAGGGAGAAAACCAAAGCAAACTCAAAAGCAAAAAGCCCAAACACACACAAAACCCCTCTCCACTTCCCCTGCCAGCTCAGCCTCAGCTGGAGCTCAAGTGCTGCTTTATTTTAAGCCCAGGCTGAGGTGTTTGTCATGGAGGAATTGCCCAAGATGTGCCCAGTCATGGGCACATGACTTGTCCTGGTCACCTCAGGGGTCACTCCAGGCTCCAGCTGGCAACTCCCAGCCAAAAAAACTCCTGTCAGCTCCATGACAGCTTTCATAGAGAGCGTCCCATTTCCTGGAAATGATCTATTTCATGGTAAAAATAACATTCCCAAGAAACCTGAGGGTGTCCCTGCTCCCTTCTTCCCAATGAATCCCCAGGAAAAGTGAAGCCTTTGAGTGGAAAACCAAGAAATGCAACCACTTCTATTGCTCGTGTGCTTAAAAGTTAAATTCATGCTTCAAGACCTTCCTGAACAGGTGCCTATGCCTCTACCAAGATTAAAAAAAAGCATGTTAGCAATCCACAGTACATGAGAATTTTTTTGGATTTTTTTTGTTGTTTTTATGTAAAAAGATGATAGCATCTGACATTTTCATCACACTGTAGACTTGGAGATTAAGAATACTAGTGCTAATAACAAATACACCAACTAGTTCAAAAGCTAACATCTTTCAGATACAGTACCATTTTACAGAGATTTCTTTAAAAAAAGATGGTTTTTACCTTGTGTGAGCCAGGCAGGCTTATTAAAAGAGAATATTCTGGGGAGAGGGAAGGGCTGGGAGGGAAATGTACTACAAACCTTGCAGAATTTTCTATTTATCTCCTGCTAAGAGCTCAAAGTTCTTCCATTTTCGACCAATTTTCTCCAGATAAATGTAAATTTTAGAGACTTTATGCAAAGAGAACTATTTGTCATAAAGTCTAGTCACACACACACACTCAAAGATCTTTGACCTATTAAAAAGAGCCCCCTCCCCCCCCCCCAAAAAAAAAAGAAAATACCTTTTGTAACACTGAGTTAAAAAATAAAATAAAAAACAAGTCAGAGAAAAGAGAAGAGGGGTTAAAACCTGACCACCGTGAGCAGGGGGAAGGAGGGGAGGGGACTCTGCAGAGCAGGGGCAGGAGGGGGTGTCCGTTTGGGGGTTGTGTCCGTGTGTCCGCGCTCATTCCGAGTCGCTGCTGTCCGAGCTGGAGCCGCTGGAGCTGCTGCTCCCCGACTCGGAGGAGGAGCTGCTGCTGAGCCGGGAGGGGCCTCCGGAGGGAGTGGAGCCGGATTTCTCTGCGGGAACAAGCAGGGATGTGGTCACTCGCAGGAACTGAAACACGCAAGGTGTCACTGGGATTGTTTTGTGGAAAATCCTCTGCTAGGATCGCTGAGGAGATGGGAGCTCCGAGAAAGAAATGTAAACAATAACTGTCTGCTGCTGTGGAATGCAAAGGTGCATCTTCCACTGGTCCATGTGGATTGTTTTTAATTGATAACCAATCACAGCCACCTGTACCGAGGCTGTGAGAGTCACAAGAGTTTTGTTATCCATTCCATTCCATTCCATTCCATTCCATTCCATTCCATTCCATTCCATTCTTGTTCTCTGGAGCCTTCTGATCTCTCTTTTCTCTCTGTTCTTTTAGTATAGTTTTCATATAGTATTTTAGTATAATATATAATATTATACTAAATCTGTCTCCACACACAGAGTGTTCACCCAGCACACAAAGGGTGCCCACAGCCCTGTGCCCACCCTGACCCACGGGGTGGCAGAGCCCCTGCCCTGGGCTGGTGAAGGATGCTGGCATCCCAAACTGTTCTCTTTGGGCTGGATAATCAGTTTTGCACCTTTAATGCTGGTTCTGAGGGTGAAGGAGGAGAGAAAAGCAGCGTGGAGTTTGTTTTCATAAACTGCATACACTCCTCCACATTCCTGCTGCTGGACTGTGCTGTCTGCAGACAGACAGACCGACAGCAGGACAGAGCTCTCCTTTGCTTTTAGTTAGTTTTTAGCTAGCTGAAGCAGAGAAGTTCCCTAAACTGTAGTTCTTCTTTAGACCTGTTTAAACCCACTCTAAACTGAACACCCAAAAGAGCAGCTACAGCTCACAGCTGCAGCCCACCAAGCCAAACCTGAGCCACAGCATTTCCAACACCAAAAAGACTGATAAGAGACTAAGTCCAGCTACAGCCCACAAAAGAGACTTTCTGAATTTATCATCTCTTTTAAAGCAGCAAAAAGTTTTATTGTTTAATAATGTTAATTTTTTTGTACTAGTAAATGCTTTGGCTATTAAATTAACAGTTTTTTCCACTTTTCTCCAAAGCATTCTCCTGAATCAGTTAAAAAAAAAAGACGTTTAAACCTACTTTTTAGAAGAGCTCCTTCAAAAGTTTTCTTCCAAATTACCTTAAACCATGACAGGTATTTAGACAGCCAGTGACAGTGGATGTTTGGGATGCAGAGCTCTGCTGTGGGGCAGGGTCACCTCTGAGCACAGAAAATCCCCTGTTAAAGCTTTGTTTGCACCAGGGAAGCCTTTTGGAGCATCCCGAGCCACGTGGGGGTTTGGGATTTTTTTAACCCCATGTGTTAGAAGCTCTGTGGTGTGGGCTGCACAGCAGGTGAACACAGGGCAGATCCTGCTCCCTCTGAAGGAGGAATGGCCTCCCAGACTGCTCCTATTTACCACCCAGCAGTTCCCAAAGCAGCTCAGTGGGAACTCCCTGAGGGTTCCAGCCACAGGGACAAACCCAAGGCAGAGGTTTTGTCCCTGTGACAAAGTCTGTTCACTTTTGGGGGGCTGTTTTCCCATAAACCCAAAGCCATTACCTTTCTTTGCAGGCTTCTTGTTGTTGTTTAGCTGCCCACTGACGTCCTGTAACCGTTTTTCTAGTTCTTTCTTCTTTTCCTGAGCTAACTCTTCTTTTGACTTTGCTGCTTGCTTTTTGCCACTGGCAGCTGTGGGGGAGGAAGGCAGAGTTTCTGAAAGTGCAGGGATGCAGGGGGAAAGAGTGGACATCACTATTTTACAGGGCATGTACATCTGTGTGCACACTCTGCAGTGACACTGCCAACATCCAGTGCTCACACAGCAACTACACATCCCAGAGAGAAGACAACACCTGAAGTTGCCTTGCTCATCAAATCACCACCATCCTGTAACATGCAATTTTTTTTTTTAAGAGAGATCTTCTGGAAAGTATTTTAGAAGATAGAAATATCCATGTAATAACCTTGTCATTACAGGTTACTTACCAGCCAGTTATATGGTCAATAATTACAGATTTGTAATTACAGAATTGTTACATGGGTTTTCTGCCCTGTAAAATAAAGTGTCCCATTAAAGGTTGTCAGGAGTAAAGCATCTGCCATGAAAACTTCCGATCCCCTCACGCAAGAATCTACTGTGGTTTATGTTGCTCTAAATAGAAAACAAAACAAACAAAGGCAAATTAAAAACCAACTGTGGCAAAGGCTGGCAGACAACAGGAATGTAACTGCATCGGGATGGAAAGGGTGAGAAGGACCAGCAACACTCACACTGCCAAGGAAAGGAAATATTCCTCCAAAGGAGGAGTAATTGAACACAGGTGTTGGCCAGGATTGGAAGCACAGGACAGGAGCCAGATATTTCCTGATCCAGCAAGGAAATACCTACATTTCTGTGAGCTGCTTTAAAGCAGTGGTATAAAAAAATAACAAAAAAAGAAAACTGGAAAGCACAGTCCTAAGAGGGAACACAGCACAGCCAGGCTCAGGCATGCCAGGCTCACAGGGTGGGTATCTGAGGTTATCTGTGTTACCCTGTGCTCTGGTTCCAAAATTGAAGGATGCTTCCTGTTCCTAAGAACTCTGGAAAATCCTTCCCTGAGCTAGGCCAACAGGGAAGGATTCAGGGGGAAAACAATAAAGCAAAAAGAAAGGTCAAAGTCTGTACTTTGCTGAGGCCTTCCTGAGAATCCTGAGGAAGGAATGGAGATGCTCTGCAAGAGCAAGGAGTAGCTTTTGTGTCACAATCTTAAAAGCAAAACTCCCTTAACCAAGAGCACTTCAGGTAAGTGATCCTACTGCTGTTCAGCTGGAGCTGAACTCTCCAGGGGCTGCAGGAATTCCCTTTGTGGGCAAGACACAAAGTCTGTCCCACACTGAACCACACACTCAGCAGCAGATTGACATTCACCCTCTGAACTGACAGAGGGTGAGGCCAATGTGGTGATCAGGACACACAGGAAGAGCACTTTTGGGGTGAATACACAACTCAGACACACCCAGAATCCACAGGTAACCAGGTAACCTTGTGCAAATCATTTACTGCCTTGGTGGCTTGGATCCCAACCACGTTTTTTGTTTCCTGCCTCGTTAGATGCTAAACTATTCAGGATAAGAAACTGATCCTTCCAGATATATGCATGTAACACCTGACACAATGAGACTGAAACCTTTACAGGGCCTTCCAGAGCCTGGGTAAGTAATAAAGGCATCCCACAGGTCTTGCAGAGGAACACATTGGCTCTCCAGGTCTCTGCAGCAGGACACCATGGGAAGAAAGAACAGAGAAAAACAGGAAGTTTCTGTACATTTCCTTGGGAGAAAAGAATCTCTAAAAACTCCTGCCACCACATACCCAACAGGTGGGTAAGAGAATCTCAATACAGATGCCCTGACTCCACAGCTGAGCCCAAGAGCTGCTGGGGGGAACACGTGCCTCGGGAGGTTAACTTACAAAACGGTTTCCTTTGTTTTTTCTGTAAACAAGATTTCACGTATCTCTCCAGTTCTCGTAACGTTGTGGGCTTCAAAGTTTCAAAATCTATTTCAATCTCGTCGGGATTGGAGTCTCTGAGGGAAGGTTCCCTGGACTGGATGATGTGAACCACCCTGCCCAGCTTCTCCCCGGGCAGGCGGTTGATGTCCAGGCTGAGCTGTCGCTTCTCGTCATAGGTCATGGGCAGCCCTTCCTCCTCCTCATCCGAGTCGTAGGTTGCAGATGCCTGTTTGCCTCCTTTCTTGGGCTGCCTGGGGAGGTTGTCAAGCATGAAAACATTCATTGGGACACAGCAATGAACTCTTTTTTCTTCCCCTGACTCCCTCGTAACAAACATCCCCGTGCTCTTGGCTTTGAAGCTCTCGTCAGATGGCTGGAACAGCACCACAAGTGCTGAAAAAGTTCAGCAGCTTGAGATCAGCTGTTGTGTTCCTATTATATTTTAGCCCTGTGAAGTGTGACAATGAGCCCAAGTAGCAGCAGGGGGGCAGCCATGAAATGGCACGTTCTTGGTGGCTGCACAAAAGGCGACCCCCAAAACCTTATCTGAGAGCAATCAGGCAGGGATTCAAAGAGCTGGACAGTGAAAACACAGTGGTTCCACTGCCAGCTCCAAGTTAAAGACTCCCTGGAGTTGTCTGGGAATGGGAACAGCATTCAGCAGCAAATTAACAACTACTGAGCTTCCCCAGGAATTAAGGACAGAGCTGGAAGTTCTTGGCTCTCCCCTCAAGGCACCTTGGCTCTCACCTGTTAGCTGTGGTTGTGCTGTTCGCTTTCTTAGCTGGGGCTTTCTTCTGTTGGGCTTGTTTTGGTGGTTGAGCCACCTTGGGTTTCTTCTCCTCCTCAGCTTTGACTTTGTGCTTTTCTTTTTCCTTCTCTTTATCTTTCTTTTTCTTCTCTTTCTCCTTCTTCTCTTTTTTTTTCTTTGGTTTGTTCACTGGCGCTTGGGACAGTGCAGCCAGCTGCTCATGGACGGCTTTCAGCTGGGGGGAAACAGGGGAAAAACCATCAAGGCCAGCGAACTGCTGCCTCCACAAACCCTTCCCTCTACATCCCAAGGTGTAAGTATATCCTAAAGCCAAAAGTCAAGCAGTTCATACTCTGGGATCCCAGAAGGAAGGAGAGAGCATCAGCACTGAGAAAAATGATACTGAAGAAAATTACCATTACATCCAACATGCACTGAGTGCCCAGCTGAATGCTTTACCCCTTAGGCTGGGAATGTTCCTCTGCATGCCAGCCTAGGTGGGATTTTTCAGGACACAATTCCTGCTGCTGTCTAACGCACAGACACAAGCTGGGATGGTGCAGTACCTGCTCCTGGAGCTCGGCCAGCCGAGTCGCCCGCTCCTCCTCGGAGTCGGAGCTGTCGGAGTCTGAGGAGCTCTCCTCGCTGCTGTGGCTGCTCTCTGTGCTTTTGCTCACCACTGGGGCTGTTGGGGGAGGTGGAGGGGGGGCCTCTGCAGGCTCATCGGGCATTTTTGCAAACCTCATCTCAAAGACATCCTGCAAAAAGGAGGAAAATTGGTGACCACAGGAGCCTCGGCCACAAACAGCTCACTCTGGTCTCTTAACTACATCAGGGGCAGGCACTTTGTGCACTACATGTAAATAGTAATATAGAGAATATGGCTGCCCATCTGGAAAGCCCAAGAAAATCCCCCAATTACTTTTAAACCAATGATTATTATATTTTAGGAGCTGAACATGGAATTGAGCCCATGCCATGTGAAGAGCACAACAATCCTGCAGGGAGCACGAGGCTCTTTCCAAGGGCTGGAGGAATCTCCCTTGTTGGTGCCAAGAGCAGATCCACACCTGGATCTTCCTTGTACCTGAACTAAAAACACTCTGGAAGATGCATTTGCCAACACCTTTACCTGGAGCTTCCTTGCCATGGCCACCACCTCGTGGTCTGGAGGATTGTACTTGTAACAATTAGAGAACATTAACCGAATATCTGCTGCAAAACCTTGTGCATCCTGGTATTCCCGACTGTCCATTTTCTTCTGCAAATAAACAAGCCAAAGGGGAAAGAAAAAAGAAAAGCCATAAGCAAAAGGCATTCGTAGCAACTGCATGGAGGACACGTGAACCTCAGAAGAGCCTCAAAAACCCTATCTAAGAGATTTGGGTTGTTGGTTCCTAAATAACATTCAGAGTTTCTGCTTTATAAAACAAGCAAACAAACACCAGGCAACCAAAGAAGTTGATATTTCATAGCAGTTTAAACACTAAGAGTCTAAACTGGCCTTGTTTTCTAAGTAGTAGAATATAAATCTGTCAGGGTCCACATTCTACCAGAAAACATTTAGAAATTATTAGAAAAATGGTTTAGAAAAATGGATCAGGAACTAACACAAACAAGGATTATGGATGGAAAGGGCAAGAGTCAACAAGCAAGTTACAATTACAGGAGTCCCTGAAGTGTGTATTTCTACATATGCTTGGATATATTTGCCTTGTAAATCTGAAAGGGCAGAAAAGATCAAGAAAATCTAACTCTGACTTCCTGCTAGCAGAGGGCAGGAGGTTTGCTGCAGTTCCTAAAGCAAAATAGGCATTTACAGTTAAACTACAACTCCCACTCTTAATTTAAAAGTCCAACTGACAGAAATGGATACGGGCTTCACCTTTTATGAACCTACTCATAATGTTATTTCCTAGAGTAGTGAGGATAAATGTCAAATATTTGTACCTTGTTCCTTCCTCTTATTTTTCAGCTCTCACTTCCAGCCATTTCTCTTGCTGTTTGGGACTCAATGACTTGGGTTTAGAGCAGTTTATAGCATTCCTAGCACTTAATTGATTTTATGCATATATTACTACTATGTATAAAACCTTAGCTCCAATTACTCCTGCTGAAAGGAACCAGAAACTAACACTAGGTTTCATTTGCATTTAAAAGACCTGGGTTTAAAGAAATTCTCTATTTGCCAAGTGCTTACAGGCTTCCCTTTTGTATGTCTTGGGCACCTGTGTGCCCAGAGAAGGGAAGGGTTGACTGGCAGACAGGCTGGGGACGTGATGGGGACAGACATCCCCCATCCCAACAGCAAGCAGGGATGCTCAGGGTCTGTCACCCACCCCTAACACAAGCAAAATTCCCATTTTTCATAGAATTACAGAAATTTAACTGTCCTGAAACACTGCAATGACTCCTGGAGCTGTTTTTGTTGTGAAAAGGGCAGAATTTCACCTCCAGGGATTCAGCTTCTGAGGGACTTGGTGCAGGGTGGTGACATCCCTGCTGCAGCCAGACATCTGTCAGACTTTTGTCAGGAGACCTCATTTTCCTGGTGAATAAACCAGGAGACAGCCTGGAAGGCACAGCACAAAAGCAGAAAGGGAAATAGGTTTGTGGTGCTCCTGTCTGAAAAGCCTCTCAGGCCAATTCCAAAGCAAAACATATGTTCAAACCAAAGGGCCCATTTATTTTAAAATACATCTGACTGCATGAAAGGCCTTTTTATATTTGTTTGGCATACTCAGGGCCTGATTATTGCCTATGAAATACATTCCAGTGTCTGAGGCTTTGCTTTTCATCCAAACTCAACAGTTTTCTAGCCCTACAATTTTTAATCTGTGAATTTTTGTTTTGTTTTCTTATAAAGAATAATTAGCTTAACAAAAGAAAGAAATGCACTTTGAATTGGTGGGCTGGAATATCTTGTTATAAATACACTTGGAGATATCCAGCTGCTTAGGAAAAAAAAAAAGTGAGCACATTTACAACTAGAAATCAGGAGTCAGGCAGGGCAGCTCACCCATCCTCTGTCCCACAGACAGCAATCTCATTTTCTCCCTCAATAAATTGTTCAATCATCTTTACTGTTCATAAATTCATTTCTTCATGTCTAATGTGTCCCTTGCTCTAAGTCTTGTCCTGCCCACAGAGGATACAAAGAATGTCTCCTCACTTTTAAGACTCAGCTGCTCTGAAACTGCAGAAGTTCACTGCAGGAAAATTAAGAGGTGAGCAGAGTTCCATCCCTGGAGGAAGTGCTTTATTCCAAAAGTAAACACCTTGTGGAAATCCTCCTGCACTGGATTGTTGCTTGTTCACCTCTGAGTAAAGCAAAGGCAGAGACATCCATGTCACTGCTGGGACCTGCAGCCAAGGATGGACAGAAGAGGTGCTCCAGGGCCCCCAGCCCCACAGAGGGACAGGGATGTTCTGCAATGGTCCCTGCCTGCCTGGGGACAGGGCAGCAGCAGCTCCTGCCTCATGCATCCCACTCCTCACAGGGAATTACAGCTGCTGCCTCTCTCTCCTCACACTTCCACCCCTACCTACTCCAAGCAGTTCTGCCCTTTCCTTCTTTGATAAAGGGCATTAAGTAGAGATGAGCTCACAGATCCTGTCCTTCAGCTGTTCCCATTCTCAGTCTGAGCTCCAGCACAAAATTCCAGCACATCCCTCTGCTCCTGGCTGCAGCAAACTCAGCTACAGCCCCTCAATCTCACCTGCCCCTGGCACAGTCACAACAGCCCACCTGCTTCCTTCACCACACACAGAGAAAACAACCTCCAAATCCTCCTGGAGACACCTCTGCCAGGGAAAAAAGTGCTCCTGGACATGAAGAACAGTCTCTGGGGAAAATCCAACCTAACACAGCCACAGAAACAAGAGACAAGATGTGTTACAGCTGCAGCAATGCTTGTGTTTTACTTTCTCACATAATTCCTTCCAGGTTAGTTTGGAGGCCCTTTAGTTGTGCTGCTTTATCACAGCCACTGTCACTTGGGCAGAATTAAATCTAAAAACCTTTCAGAGCCACAGTGGAAGTCCCTGACACTGGAAAATGACACTGCCTGCAAATGGCAGGTTTCTGTTCCACAGAGTGAACATATTATGAGCTGCATCTCTGAGAAGTCACACCATGATCTGCAGGCCAAGAGCAATGACAATAAAACACTCCATAAAAAACCAATACCAGACAGCACTTCAAACAACTTAATTAAGAAAAATACTACCGTGTGGAATGAGAAGCCCAGAGTCTGTAGGTGTAAAAGACTCCACTGGGTTTGCCATCAGCCTGTCTCCAATTTCCTACCCTACACTAGTCAGGTGCAGAGGGAGGATATCACCTGCACTTACCAGAAAGGGGCAGAGGTGTACAATTTTAAAAGAATGAAGTCAGGACCTTAAAGAGATTTAAGCATGAAGGAATCACCAACCCACGGGATCACAACTTTGCACCTAGATTTTTCAGAACACAGCACAATGACCTCTTGCAATAAGAAATCACCTAAGCACACATGGAAATATTTGAGAGGGTCAGGATTTCACTCTGTCCATCTCTAATCTTCCTGCAATCACCTGGGGCTTCAACTAGCAGGGTGCAGGTATGTCTGGAGACCAGAGCAGCCCTAGGATGGATGCATGGCACATCAGAGTGTGACATGCTCCTCCTGGGTACCACACAGGATCTGCCAAGGAGTATGACAGGAGTCACAACCACAGCTGCCCTTCTGTCACCTGGGCATTCAGACAATCCCAGGCACTGGCTAAGCTGGCAGTAAAACCCTTCTGGCAATGCCAGTGAAAGCCAGCAACAACATCTGCAACTCCTGCACATGGAAGTCTCCCCTCCATCAACACAGAACCCAGTGCCTGGCTCACAGGAAGATGGGAACTACAAAGACATGGCTTTGCTTCATGAAGGGATTCAACAAACCTCCAAACCTACTGGGAAAAACAAGAATATTGGACCATACTAAGCTGAACTCTTGAGGAGCCAAGCGTGAACCACAAAACCAGCACATATCTCCCTGTGCACCATCACATGGAGTTGCTCAGTGTAAGCCTATCTGCCACCACCAAGTAGGCAGGCAGCAGCTTCTGGAAATGGGATACCATCAATTGAATCCTATGAAATAAAGCACCTCCTCTTCTCAGAGTGCAACACAATCCTAAGAACACCAGTGAAATACCTGGACTATTCACAAAGAGGAGAGGTTGCCATTGTACTTTGCTTTGTGTACATCATCTTTGCTTTGTGTACATTCTGCTTTGCAGGGCAGAAAAAAATAGCTGTCCCAGGTTATGGCAAAAAAGGGAGAGGGGACGGAAACAAAATATAAAAATAAAATATAAAAATATCCAGCTGGTATCCAAACAGGTTCAGTTTCCACCCTCTCCCCTTCACCCTCCCACAAAGGAGCCAGTCCTCTGCAACCAGAGGGACCCCCTGCAAAAAGAGGTGGTAAATGAGGACGTACTTTCACAGTACTGAGATCCATGGGGTGTTTGATAATGTCGTGATAGTCATGTAATTCCAAGGCCTCTGCATCCACGGGCTTGTAAAAGGGCCACGCATAGGCTGCGTGCTTCTTGGAGAGCATCTCCTTGAGGATGCTGTCACAGTACTTGAGGTGCTCAGAGAGTTTGCCCTTCTTCCCTGCGTGCTGAGGGACCTCTCCATCCTCCAGGTCCTTCTTTGGTGGCTTGATGGGGCGGCCGCCGCTCTCCCTGCGCGCGATGATTTTGGCCTGTTTGGGGTCCGACAGCGGCGTGGGGGACTCGCTCCTGCTGGCAGTGATGGCAGACGTGGTGGGCGTGGTGGTGTCTGCTTTCCGCTTCACTCCCTTTTTCTGAAACAGCACAGGGACAGGCTCCATGAGGACACGCCCTGTAGAAACCCTAGCACGGCTCATCCTTAGTTTTGCCTGGCCTCCGACAGAAAAAAAACCCTCAGTTATTTCACTGGGATAAATGGGATTTGTGACTAGAGGCTCCAACACTGCACCTCACCTGAGCTACAGAAACCAACCATTTGCACGGCTCCAACCCAAGCCCAACCATGCTCTGAAATGTGTTATTTCCCTGAGAGGGAAGCCAGGACTCTTACCTGGTGTTTGCCAAGGGAAAGGAGGGCACCCAGTCGATTACTGATGCATAGGGACTGAGCAAGTGTCAGTAACTTAAGCACATGTCTGAGTCTCCAGTGGCAGGATCAGGCTGTAAGTTCTGAACCAAGGCTATTAATCACCAAAGACCCACAAGCCCTCACTCCCCTCTATTTAGTGGGTGTGCTAAGGTAGATTTTGCCTTAAGCAAATAAACCCTCTCACATAAATTCAAGCTGGGACTGTCCAGTCAGCTCTCTCGTGCTCCTATCAAGGATTTATTTCTCTGGAGAGGAAGATAGGGAGGAAGAAGTTCCTCAGAGAAATCTAAGGGAAATCTTAAGTAAATCCCAAGCAGAATTAATTTTGCAGTGTGTATTTGGCAAACTCACTTCTGGGTTCATCCTCGAGTTTTAAAATGAAATTGATTCTCAGAAGCAAGTTATTTGGACAGAAACTGAAATGTGAGACAGGTTTCTGAGGAGGACAGCTTAGCTGCAAGATCTGACTTACAATTTCTCTAGTAATTCCCAAACTATTGGGTTAAAAAACAAAACAAATCTGTGCCTCTGCTGGTCCAAGCAACCTCACAACCAAAACTGTTGCAGTTAATTCCACAGTTTAGATAAAAAGATCCCCAGCTTTCTCTGAGCTATGCTTTCATCATTTTTAAAGCAATTCACAGCTTGCTAAGAAAATTTCAATTATTTAGGTAATGTCTTCATTTACCCATAAATTAACATAATAAATAGCAAAACACCAGTGACAACTCCCAAAAGATTACTCAGTAAGAAAGACAGAACTAATGCACCCAAAACCTGCAGGCAACATCAGTCTCCTCCAACTGGAGTGACAGGCTTGTCTTGAACTGGCTGAAAGCAGAGAGGAACATTCCTAATGCTGGAGCCTGCAAACCTTAAAGGAACAGCCCCAGCAAAATCAGGAGCTCAGTTACAGAGGGAAGAGATGCTTTGGGCTGCAAAACTGAAAGGAACAACTCCAGCAAAATCAGGAGTTCAGTTACAGAGGGAAGAGATGCTTTGGGCTGCAAACGTTAAATGAACAGCCCCAGTAAAATCAGCAGCTCAGAAAAAAGAGGGAAGAGATGCTTTGGGCTGCAAACCTTAAAGGAACAGCCTCAGTAAAATCAGGAGTTCAGTTATAGAGGGAAGAAATGTTTTGGGCTGCAAAACTTACAGGAACAGCCCCAGTAAAATCAGCAGCTCAGAAAGAGTGGGAAGAGATGCTTTGGGCAGCAAACCTGAAAGGAACAGCACCAGTAAAATCAGGAACCCACTTACAGAGGGAAGAGATGCTTTGGAGTGCAAACCTTAAAGAAACAGCCTCAGCAAAATCAGCAGCTCAGAAAAAAGAGGGAAGAGATGCTTTGGGCTGCAAAACTTAAAGGAACAGCTCCAGTAAAATCAGCAGCTCAGAAAAAAGAGGGAAGAGATGCTTTGGGCTGCAAACCTTAAAGGAACAGCCTCAGTAAATCAGGAGTTCAGTGACAGAGGGAAGAGATGTTTTGGGCTGCAAAACTTACAGGAACAGCCCCAGTAAAATCAGGAGCTCAGTTACAGAGAGAAGAGATGCTTTGGAGTGCAAACCTTAAAGAAACAGCCTCAGCAAAATCAGGAGCTCAGTTACAGAGAGAAGAGATGCTTTGGAGTGCAAACCTTAAAGGAACGCCCCAGTAAAATCAGGAGTTCAGTTACAGACAGAAGAGATGCTTTCAGCTATTTGGTGTGAAATGGGGAGAATTCCAAGAGCCCTGGAGCAGCAGCACAGGGGAAGGCTGTGAAAGGAGAGGCTGGAGCAAGCACAGGTGCCAACCCCTGTGAAAACTGGCAGCACTGCTCTCAACCCTCTCCATCTCACACCCAGCGGTGCAAGCAGGGATCCAGCAGGAGGGGTCCAGCGCAGCCCCTCTCCCCTGATTTACCTTGACGACCGGGGGCGTGGGAGGCACCACGGGCATGATCGGAGCGGCGGGCGGGGGCGGGACGGCGGCGGCAGGGGCGGCGACAGGCGGGACATTGGCGGTGATGGTTGGCACGGGGGTGGCAGCGATGACGGGCGTCTGAGACACGGCTGGAGGGACGTTCTGGAACGGGGCCGGCGGGGACACGGAAGACACGGCCACGGCTTGCTGAGCTCCTTGCAAACGAGAGGGGAAAGGCGCTGGTGGTTACGGCTGGGAGCAAAGAGGACGTGGCACAGGGATCCCATGAGGGCACAAAGGACACGGTGCTCGGTGCTGTTATACCCAGGGGACAATAAAAGTGAGGAATCTCTGATTCTAAGGGCTTGTACCATGGGTTTAGGTCAGCCACACGCAAAATAACTGCAGCTTTTCACATCTCTGGAATGCTTTCGCCCCTTGGATGCTCCCAGAGCTGCACTGAGCTCAGCAGAAGAGCAGCAGAGGAACAGTGGGAGGTGTTCACACCATGCAAATGGCAACCACCACTGCCCCGAGCCACCTGAGCACCCACGAGGCCAAAGCACTTCAGATTTGCCACAAGTGCACAGCGTGGGATTCTTGGGGCTGTGCAGGGATGGGAGTTGGGCTCAGTGATTCCCTTCCAAGTCCATATTTTATGATTCTCAGTAGAGCCTCAGCCTCCTGATGCCTCGATGTCTCTGATGCTACACCTGCACTGCTAAAAATCTGCCTACTGGTGTGACATAAAGTGGGACAAACCTACTACCTAATAACCTCCTTCTATGTTTTATCAAAGGATGTTGAAAACATACATCATCATTAATGTCTCTGAGCTTGGATAGATTTATAGCTCCATTTAGCACCTGAAATGTGGGGAAACAGAGGAACAATTGACTTTCCCAGAGCAACAATTAGACCTTGTTTGGAGAAAAAAAATTACTCTCATCCTTTAACTCAGCCCACACAAGGTCCTTTATGAACTGCTTTATTATGCTTGGACATTTTAGTCCTAAATCCATTTAAAATCAATTCTAGGTAAGCTGAACTAAACTTCGTTTCCACTGATATGCAATGGGGCACACAGCCTTTTGCAATGGCTTAATAAATCCTTTAATTTTATGATGTTGCAACCATGTGTGTAAAAGGAAAATATACAGGGTTTAGGGAATTAGCAACATTTGAGTCCAAGCCTCTGCTGTGCCAGATTTCTGGCAGGACCCAGGGTGAGCTGTGTAAACCCAAATCTGTAAAGACTTTCCATGCCATGCTCTGGCACTGGCAGCAGACTGGCATTTCTGACTACCTTGGCTTTTTCTTTGCATAGAGAAGCAACAGCACTGCCCTCCCTCCCTGAAGTGCTGCCTGGATGGGCAAACCACAGATGGCAAGATTGGTGTGACAAATGCAGGGTAGCCTTGAGACACACGAGCCCTGAAACCCTGAGTGAGCATCTCCCAGACACCTCCCACCTTCCTCCCCAGTGCTTTAACTGTGAGACCACGCTCTCCCTTCCCAGCCTCTTCACCAACTGCAATGTCCAGCAGCTCAGGAGGTGGGTCAGGCCTCGGGAACAGCTCCCAAAATCCCCTGGCCCTGCATGGATCCCTACCTGTGCTCTGTGTGCCCGCTGAGGGCTTGCGACCTTTGCCTTTAGGAACTGGGGGTAGCAATTCCACCTCCTCCTGAGGCATCTGGGCAACCTTCTGCAGAAATATCTTCTCCAGGGCTTGAGCCATGAGGACAATGTCATCTGTGGGCTGCACAAAGAAGAATATGAGCCTTTGTTGTATCACTCACATATCTGAAGCAGTGAGCTTGAAGACCAGGCTTAGAAAACACTGAGGCCCTTCAAATAAATTATGGTATTCAAATGCTGACAATAAACAGATTAGCTCTTCTCCCTCCTTGCTTGCCACTCTCCTGCTCTTCTGTTCTGCTCTAGCATGCAATAATTACAGCCCCTAAGTGTGCTGCATCCAGAGAATTATCAGGAGTTCAGAAGGAGCCTGATAAACCAGTATCCAGTGCAGCAGTGTGGAAGCAGCAAACTGGAACGGATGAGCTGTCCTTCCCTGCCTGCCAGCAGGTCCAAGGGAAGAGGCTAAACACACATTCTGTGGCTCAAACTAATTAATTTGTTTATTTCAGCTGTTCTCCAGTCTGGGTCTATGATGACAAATGACTGGAGAAAACAGAACACAAAGAATTTTAACAATCTAACAAAACAGCAAACAAGCCAAGCCCAAAATAATAATAATAAGCAATCTAAATGTGTGTAAGTATGAACATATTTATGGAGACAGAGTCAAAGGACAGTTATGATTCTTGAGCTCCTTTCTGCTGCTAACAGGTATTATTTAGTGCCAGACAGTCTAACACACAGCATTAAAGCACCTCAAAACACCTGCAGAGCACTGCATTAAGTGCAGCTCATCCCAGAAAACTCCTAACTGACAATAAAAGGAGTAAAAACTTGCTGCATAACCCCAAAACAGAAATCTACCTATAATTAAAAGGCATATTTGCCATTGTAACTAGTCTGGGGGAAGAAAGAGGCAGCACAAAGACAGCTTTGTGCATTTCAAGTAACGTGGTTGCAATTAGTGGAATTTCAAATCCTTGAAAGGAGGGCCCAGAACCGGCCCTGCTCAAAATGTGCACTGTAACAGGGATAGGTGGGTGTTTTCTAAAGGCTTTTCTGGGCTTTTTTACCTTGTTATAAATGTAACAGTTTGTAAACATGGTGTTGAAATCCTGCATACATTCACTGGCACTCCAGTAATAGTTGTGTTCCAGGCGCTTCTTGATCGTCCCCATGTCCATGGGGTTTTTTATTATTTTGTGATAATCCTGTTGGAAAAACAGGGAAGATGTTATATCTTCTGATTCAGTTTTGTTCACATCTCCCTCTAACCCCTGCTTTTTCCTCATCCCCCTCCCCTCTAAAAAACACACCCCTAAATTTTGTGGAAATTGTAATTGTAAATATATATTCATTTATTTTCTAATTTGTATCTTTTTAGTCTTACCATTATTATGAACCTGACTCCAAAACACACAACCTCCAGTCTGGGAATCAGCATTTCTGCCTCCCTTTTTAAAAAGCTGCCTCTGGCACTCACAGAAGTTTATCAGGGCTGGCTAAAACTGTGCTCAAAGTTTCAGTCTCTAATTTTAAGAGCATTCTGCCCTTTAAAAGGTTTCCACCTGTTAACCCAGTTTCTCCCTGGGCTGGTCTGCAGCACCTGCAGAGGCTGTGATTAGCCTGCAGGGCTGTGCAGTGTCATTTTCTTGTTCTGGATTAGAACACCAAAGCCTCTCTTGCTGCACATGAAGCCACTGGCTGAGCCCAACACCATCCCAGGGGTTGATATTTCCCCTCTAAGCAACCCCAAAACCGACCTGACCAACACAAAGCTCTCTAGGCTGAGAAGACGACAGAAACGTACCGGCAAATTCAGTTTAATTGCATCAACAGGCTGGTAGAAAGGCCAAGCAAACTGATGCTTCCACAAGGTCTTCACCACAACATTTTGCATATATTGCAGCTGGTTGGTCTTTCGGCCGGGTTTGTTGGGATTTGTCACCTCTGGAGGGGGCGGATTCACAGGGCCCTGAGGAGCCTGGATCGCTGAGGCGACCGCCGACATCTTCCTGCCCGGGCTCTCACTCGCTGTCACTGCGGCAGCAACGGGGAGATTTTCTTTCTTCCTTTATGCTCCCTGAATGGGACTGACATCCCATTTCCAGGGTGCAACCATACAACCTAGAGCAAACTAGACAGAGAGAGGGGGAAGGGTGTAAATACAGATTTTTGAAGCAGGCAGGTTGAGACATTTCTCGTGTGGACAATATTTAAACACAGGCTCTTTACCCCATTGACTTTGTTCTGGAACACAGTTTATCTTGCAGATGGGAACAGTTCAAGACCCAAGAGACAGTGGAATTCCCAAATTCAAAGCCTGCAGAGACACAGCAAGCTTCATGGGACTAGTTCTTGCTTTAGCTGGCTCAGAGAGCATCTTCATGTCAAGAAAACACTCAGGGCAACCTCAGAATCCAGTCAGGGAATACAGGATGCAATGCAGACTCCCTGAATGCACTGATGCAAGCTGCTAAATCCCCAGCTTCCAGCTCCATGTAAACTGAACTGCATTGTCTCTAGACCCATGCTGCCTGGCCCAGTCAGCTCACAGGGCTCTGCTCTGGTGCAAGGGGTAGTCTGAAATCCCATAATGAAGAGCAGATGACAGCTGCCAGAGGACCTCAGTCCAGGGAAATGAAAGAAGAGGCAGAGTGAGATGCTGTGAATTGCTGAGAGTGAAAGGTGTCTCCACAAACAGCCCAACTTGAAGTGGTCTGCACTTTGAATCTCATAAATGTCTTATTATGCCTCTTAGTGCATGCACCTGACTGGTTTTGACCCCAGTTTTATATTAAAGTTTCGAGATCCAGGCTCAAATAATAACTGGTGTTACACTGATATCCCGTGACCTGGCTCAGACAGTGCTGTCATGTTCTCTCTCAAAGACACATTTGAAATAGAGGAGAATACATAAATTGCATTATTGTATTCTGGTTTTCCCTCTGCAAACTGCAGAGGTAAAAATAGCCCAGTATCACTGTGCCTTGTGTAGCATATGGTAAACAGCTTTGCTATGTCATCTTCCATAAACATTGGATATTTCAGCTCACATCAGGACTGCAGCTACGCTTCTCATGGCAAACAGACCACAATCACTTTCTAGAGGCAAATTATTTCAAATATATTTAGAAAGCAATACAAATACTCTGACATACACTTCTTGGCTGAACAGAGAAACGTGAGCAGAGACAGAAACTGCAGCAACCCAGGAAGGAAAAAGCAGGGAGACATCCTTGGAAAAACCCAAAAACCTCTGCTTTAATACAGCCCTAATCATCTCTACTGAATATCTGGACTAAATATAGAACATCAACTTACCCTGTGAGCTGCTGATTAGATGAAGGCAAAAAGTAAACACATACCTAACTTGGGGAAATTTTACCAAAATAGCTGTGTACAAACAAACAGATCTGCAGCAGAGAGGGAGGGAACTGCTCAAAACCTAAACCAAACCCCTGTGTGAATACATGTGATTATTTGTGCAGGAAACAAAGTCCAGTTCTCATGCTGCCACCATTTGTTCAACACCCACTGTATTCCAAGGATGGAGAAAAATGCCAGGAGGACTCTCTTGTACCATGGATTTAGGTATAGCTCCAGGAATCAGGCTCCTGATCCCTGTTTTTGGATAACTCGGGAGTCCAGCTTAGCTCCAAAAGGACTGGTTTCTCATGTGCTCATGCTGCTGGGTGATCACCAAGCAGCCAAAAGGGATGCTGGCATCCCCTGGACAAGGAATTTCCTAACTAGAATATTACTTGGGTTTCAGATTTGGAAGAAACTGGGGAAGGATTTTCTCCCAGTGTTCCATTAAGTCAAAGCAGCACCAGAAATATTGCAAAATTCAATCTTCAGATCGAGGGGGGTAAATAGACAAAGAATTAAAAACAACAAAAAAAAAAGGTAATTAGGAAGTTTCACTCCGTCTCCTTCTGGGGAGCTCCCTGCATGGATTCAGGTTTCTGAGCAACATCCATCATCCCAGAGAATGCAAGGCTGGCTGCAGGTCCCTGGTGACCACCACTGAAGCATTTTGTTTGCTGTCTTCTTGATTAACAAACTGAATCCAGTGCAAGGATTGAGGGGAAATAAAACACCCACAGAGAGCAATTCCTACTGCTAGAGAGCATTTGGGTCACAAGTTTGAAACTATGCAGTGTAACTTAAGTCTTCCCCTTAAATAACCTGAGGCTAAATATGATTCTCTTTTCATTTCAATTTCCTCATGTCCTACCTCTCAAACTCCAATTTGATAAGGATTTTTAATTAATTTGTGTTAAATCCCAGAACTGTAATTCAACAAACCACAGATCCATAGCTCCTACCTCTCTCAGACTTCTTCTCCCTGACCTTAGCCAAGACTTTCAGTATCTTCACCCCACAGCTCCTCATCTGTGCCATGGAGATAATGGGAACTCCTTTCTGCCCCCACCCAGCAGAGAAAACTCTCTGGGACAGGCACTGCCTCCCCACAGGGCCATTTTGATCCTCAGGCTTAAACAAGGCTTGTGCAGTCCACATAAAAGGATGGAACAGTCATCAGTGACACAACTCAGAAAGGATTTTAATTAAGAACATTACCAAAACAAGGAGGGGCAGAACCATGACAGCCAGCTTGGTCAGTTCCCTGATCCTCTCTAACTTCCATGCTCCAACACACTGGTTTTTACACCCCAAAGTGGCTCCAAACCTCCCAGCAGCACTGGCATTGAACTGCTGGAGCCTGCAGAAGACAGAAATAGCTACCTGGACTGTCTGGCAGCACTGGAGGTACTGTCCTGCCATAAATAAAGCTTTAATGTGCCTCACTGCACCTTCTACCCTTGGTCCAGCAGCTTCCTCACCATTTGCTGGGGAAGCTGCTTTGATACTGGATCACTTTGTAATTTTTAAAATTAAGAATTTGCTTCTAGAGCCATTCCTTTACCTTTAAAAACTCAAAATGGTATCATTTTTAAGAATGTAAAAAGCAGGGCTATGAGGAATCTGGAAGATGAGGGTAAAAACGCTTTGGAAATGTCCAAAAGGCAATGACTTTAAATTAAAGATAAATTAATGCCTGAGAAATCTAGTCCATGTGAAAGATCATTTATTAAGTGAGGGAAGTGAGAGCCCTGACCATCTGACATCCCAAATTACCACACAAATCACCCAAGGGGACACTTTAGTAGACCCACAGACAAAAATTAAGCAAGCTTCTACAAATTGTTCCATAACTACAGGTAGAACTGAACTATACAGCTCTTGTCTAAGCACTCCAGCACCCTCTGAAACTGCACTGGTATCAATAAATATTTAAACTATTACAGACAGTGACTCAGGACATCACTGTACAAGGGACTGTGCAAGCCTGGAGTGAAGAGTGCCAAAACCAGACACCATGTGCACCTTCCAGTGAGGGGCTAAGTGAGACTTCTTTTAGCCCTGCAGTAACAGGCTTGAATTTTAATTTTTAAATCACTACTTATCCTGTTCCTCAGGCTTATAATGTTCAAGTAGCAGGAGGTATTCTTGATTTCTCTGTCTGCACAAGTGGTTTTGATATTGCAAGTTTAAAATATACCCTGAAGTGCTGTCATACACAAAGAGTGAACACTGCTTCTCTTTCTTATTCAATTTGAGATAGTAATTAAAAACAAAACCCAAAACCTCAAAGAAAGGAGGTTTTAAGTCCTGGAGTTTAAGTCTTTTTCTGCTAAGTTGCAAAATCAGTGTGGCAAATGAGACATCAAAAACCCCAGCTAGGTGGGATGGATTTTTCCTTTAAAAAAACCTTTCTTCCACGGAATCCCTCACACAGGGTCAGTCAGCAGAGAGACAGTTGGCATGGAGAAAACGTGTAAATAATTCCCTGCACTAGCAGGATAACATTTTCCTGCCTGCAGCAGTGGGGACTGTTTAAAAGCAGCTCTGAAGGCCCATGGAGTGTGCAGTGTGCCAGCTCTCCTGCTGCTCCAGCCAACAGCTCTGCCACCTCCTTTGGCAGTGCCCAGCGTTTAACGGATGCTTTGCTCCCGTGCAGGACCCGATGGGGTTTGTTTTCATTGCAGACATACAGAAAGCTTTATGGCAGCCTGGCAGTCCAACAACTCCTTGGTTTTTCCCCCCTTGGTATAGTATTTCTGCGTGGTTACTTGGACATTGATCAACATCTGGCAGAATTCCAGCTCGGCAAAGAAACAGCCACATAAATCTTCCCATCAGGGAAAATTATCGAGTTTGAGAGATGTTCCTTGACCTTGCTGTTATCTGCACATTTTTATTTACATTACAGTAGCACACAGAGGCTGGGTAGAGACCAAGGTCCCTTAGCAGTTCACACTCTGCACACACAAAGACCCTGCTCCTTCCTCAAAGGGCTGCTGCTCACAACTCACACTTTACACCACGGTGAGGTGAATGCCCAGAGCCCCCCAGTCAGCAGCCAGACCCAAAATCTGCCAGCAGGGCAGTCAGAGCAGTGTCCTCCAAGCTGCTGCTCCATGCATTGCTTCCCCACACTGGCTTCTTGCAGCCTCCCAAGCAGATTCTCAGTCTCTTTTTTCCCAACAATTGAAGTTTGGTCAGATTTGCCACCACATGCCACTGCCCATGTCAGAGAAGCAGCCCAGCCTTGGTCATCTTGCCCTACTTTCTCTGCAGGACAGGTTTAGCACTACTAAACCTCAATACAAAGTCCAGTAAGGTTATTAATGAGGGTTGTACCCATTTTATTCTGTGGCTGTAGAAATTAAGGGCTACATCAGTCTCCTCAGAAGGAAACAAAATTGTGGATGCCTCCTTTTCCTCCTCCTTTGCCTTCCCTTCCCAGCCCCACACAGGAACAGAACTTCAGGCAGCTTTCAGTACCTACTAACATGTCAGCAGGGATGGTGTCTTCAAACACAAGGGATGTGCAATTTGAGAGCAAGACTTGAGGACAGACGAGCTGCTTTATCAGCCAACCCTGCCCTGGCAGACAGACACGCTACACACAACGTGCCACCCCCTCAAGACACTGGGATTTACACTTGGCTTCACTGCAGGAGCTGGGAATTTGGCTTGCAGTGCCCCTATGGCACACTGCAGCACTCTGAAAGTCCATTCAGCCATCCTTGCTGTCTCCCAAATCATTAATTCCACACTTCACAGATTTGCTTTTCATGCATATTATTTTGAGCACCGCCCTAATAACATCCTGAGACTGGGAGATGCAACTGTGTCCTGAGCTCACCTCTGCATGAGGGAGGGGAAAAGATCACAGCAGATTAAGTCAGTTCCTTGGCTTTTGACTTGGTTGGTTTAATGCTTATTAGATTATGCAGATGGCTTTCCTACCCTTGGTCTCTCCTTGGCTATTATAAGAGCAGGTGTTTCCTCAGTAAGGAGCCTGTGGGCTCCTAACCAGTAGGTAGGAATCAGCCAGGAGTAACTGGTAATTTCAAGGGTCTTCAGTTTTGATGCCTACTCAGTGCTCTCCCTGCAAATCATGCTGCTGTAAGATCTCTGATGAGATGCCTTCAAACCCAGGGGTAGCCAAAAGTCACTTTAATAAAAGCACTGGAGACTTATAAATACTGTTAGGCACCTCAAATAAAGTGATGGACTTTCTGATAATTTGAGGCCAGAGTATTTCTCTCCCCCAAGTCACTAATGCCACAGGAAGCACCTTCTGATCAAGTCTGAGGAATTTAGCTGCATGTCACACACAAATCAAATGGGGCTCAACTGATTTCTAAAGGCTGCAGTTTCAAGTGCAGGGAGTGATGTTTAACACTAAACCAAGTTCATTTTCATAGCTTTGAATCTGGTTTTGAGAAGTTTTGAGGGACCAATGTCAATAATGAATTAGGCATGGTTGACCTTTCTTTGTGCTAGGGAGTACAGAATGACCTCTGGACCTGTCTTCCTGCCCTGCGTTTTCTGGTCCCCTGAAAACAAGGAGGCAAATTTCAACTCAGACTATGTTGGCTTTGTGCAAGCTCCTGAGTTACAGGGTTTTGTTAAAAAGGCTACAGGAGGAAGGAAAAGTGAGTGGTTACAAAGCTTACCCTGTGCTGGATTCCTGACTAAAGGAGATTTGAGACTTGACTGCATAAGGTCTGGACTCAGATAAGCTGAACTGCACTTGCAAAAAATCAGCCAGGAGGTACTTCAGCAAATTAACTGGGTGGCCTATCATGAAAAAGTTAATTTAATGCTTAGCTGTAATAAATAAGATCCATGAACAGGTTCCAGAGTACCTGGAGTGGCTTGCACATCCAAATGGATGGGAATGGGTAGGTGCTTAACAGGAAAATGCTGGTGGTTGTGCCTCTCACAAGATACACAAATTACACCTTTATGGCAATGGAAAAAAAAATGTTGGGCTTTTACATAAGAGATTTGGCATAGCAAGTGTAGTGTTTGGGATATCCACATGTCTGGGCAGACTCTGCTCGTGCCATTTTTCCCCCAAAGGGAAAGGTGGAGATGCAATGGAATTACCTTGTGTGACCCACGGGGCTGAACCCAAAACACCTAACGAGGGGCAGAGCCAGGGAGAAACCAGACAGTCAAAATGTACAGGGGAAAAATCCTGCTTGGAGCAGATTTTCCCTCCTAGCCAGTGCACTGCACATTTATTTGGCAACTCCCAGCACTTGTAGGGGTGACTGCAGCCCCCCAAAAGCCCCTGTGCAGCAGCAGCCCTGCAGCTGGGGACACCAGGCAGAAAGGAAGCACAGGGAAGGTGCTGGCACATGGCCACATACCATCCATGCTCTCAACGTGTCAGGAGCAGGACGAGGGGCAGGAGAGCTCGGGGAGGCAGGAATGTGGCTGAGGGCACACTGGAAGTGCAGTGCAAACCACAGCACAGCCAGCAGCCCAGTCCTCTGGGATTCAGGAACCACTTCAAGCCTGATCCTGCAGAGTGCTCAGCAGCTCTCCCCTCTCACTGAGCTGCAAGGTTTCTGTGGCTCAGCACCTCACCATAGAGGGTTTTGCAGACTTATCACCTGCAAGATACAACTAATTGGTCAATCAAGATAAATCTCTTTCTAAGGAAGATTTAAGCACAGGCAGGAACAAACTTAAGCTCTGCACACTTTGTGGTTTCTCTACCTGAGTCAATTCCTTCTCCAGCTGCTGGAGAGAGGTAAAATGACAAAGGAGGTTCAGTGCTGCATATCTGGAGCTGGAGCAATAGCTGGGGGAGCTGAGGGAGTCAGTGGCACCCAGCCCTGCACAAGCAGCCTGTCCCTGCAGCACAACAGGATCCCAGCAAGAGAAATCCCACTGCACGAGGGCAAGGGTGCAGGAGCATGGAGATCCTGTTCTCTGCCATAGCATTTCCTAAAACAGCACAAAAAGAAACTGCAGCCTCATCAAGGAGAGATATCTCCAACTTTACATGAAAGTTGCCAAGGAGTGGAAAACTTTTGGTGACCCCAAATTCAAGGCTTGCTGATGGGCACAGTAAAACTCCACAGACTCAGTCACAACTTCTGCAAGCTGGCCAATTCTGCACATTCAGAACTGGTACAAATGCTGTCTGCTGGATGCCTTCTTTGTTATTCCACCTCTCTCTGTTTCTGGAATTAGTATCACTTTAAGCTTCACAGAGGGACAGAATCTACTCTTTTACTCACCTCTGGTTTTGCATTCAAATCCATACTTCAAGAATAACCAGAACTACAAATCCATTTCCTCACCTGGGTTTGAACCACAGTCAGCCTTTCTAAGCATCCTTCATGTCAGCATCACCAACTGCTCTGAAAGTGGGAGACAAACTGTGTGACAAGCTGATGTTCCTTCAGCTTGAACTTCCTTCTAACAGATCTCAGTGGCAAGGAATCTTTGAATTCCTGCTTGCCCAGCCATCAAAAAAATGGAGCTGCCACAGCACATGAAGCAAAAGAAAACTCTCACTTTCTGAGAGCTGTTAAGAAACCACCAAGCTAAAAGTGCAGGAGCAACAGGTCCATCCTGGACACACCAGCCCAGTGACAAGCAGCAGGCTGAGGCTGTTAATCATTTCAGAATTGGATGATAATGCTGAATAATCTTAACTTGATACTCAGTGGCTCCAGCAGAAGTCAGCCTGGGGCTGCTTCTGCTTGTATTCCTTCAGGAAACAAAATTGGAGGCTAGAAACAGATATAAATACTACCAAGCAGGTAAACTGCAACAGGAAAGAGGCAGCTAACCTACACACTCTGGGAGAAAACAAAACATAGAGAAAGTCAGCAAAAGAAAGGAGGGATGAACAGAGTGAGGAGACAGAAGGGAAAGTTCCCTGTTTCATGCAGTTTAAAAATGAGACAGATCACTGGCTGCTGTTAAATGCTGGATCACACCCAGACTACTTTTCTGAACTACAGGCTAAAGCATCATAACCCATCTCCTTACCTGATTTCCCCTATTCCCAACATTCCTTTACAGCCTCCCTTCTCCAAAGCACAACTGCTCCAACAGTGATGCTCCTGCCCATTCATCCTGTGCCTCCAGCAAACCGTTTTGCCAATTTCAGGTCAACACTCTGTACTTCAGATAAATTATTAAAAACCAACCAAACTAACTGAAATAAGAACAAAAAAACCCACACACTCTGGCCCTGTCCCAAGTTTCAGCTGATGCATGCACAGCAGCAGCATTTAGGTACAGCCAGTAAAGCAGAATGTGGCAACACTCATACAGGGTCCAGAACTCCTAATGGGATTATTTCACATCTACACCCTCGTTTTCTGCTTTTTAAAGGATGTGATGTGCACAGTTAAACATCTGAGTCCTGAAAAAGCCGGCCCTTCCCCTTTTTAATCAGCATATGGTGCTCTGTGTACTTTCAGAGCATAAGGAAAAGCCTCAAACTCACTCTGTTTGATTCAGCATGCAGTGAATAAAGGACACAGAGCCTTTCCACAACAGGTTTTGTCATGATTGTTTCATTCTCTGCACTTTGATTTCCAAAAAGAGAGATTATTGGACAGAAAGCTTTTTGAAGAAAAGTCTAAAAAAAGGAAAAGAAAAAGCTACAAGAGCTCAACTACTTCCCTGCTGGGCAGAACATCTCCGAGCATCTGCTGTACCTGCACAGAATTACAAAATCTCCTGTACAAGCCAGCCTGCTGCCAGTTCTGACACCCCAGGCTGCAGGCTGGTTATCCCCCACTTGGAAAATGGGGATATCAATATTTCCACTGCCATCTGCAATTAAAGTCATTAGCCTTTTCCCACGCATTTATAGATTAACCCATTCTCAGTGTTATGTTTGCACCAATTTTAAAGAAAGAGGGGAAAAACAATCAAGAGCACAAAGGAATTTGTGTTTACAGGGTGTTCAAATGCCATCACTGGGGTTTCTGGGAACATCTTCTTGACTATGTACAACACCCCTTGTCACTGGAAGAAAGTGCAAAGCTAAAACTGCCATCTGCTTTATCCCTTTGCCCACACTGCAGCACTCTTTGAAAACATTTCTAAAAGATAAACCACAACACCCAAAAGGTCTTTAGTGGCACCTGTTAAGGAGGGGAGGTTAGATACAGCCAAATTCCACTTCCAGCTGAGTTTAAGAGGCTACAGAAACAGGAAGATCACCTCCTCTTCATGAAATTAAGTACAGAAAGTACTCTGAGCAAAGTATAAAATACAGAGCCCTTGCAAATAGCACTTAATTCCTCTGTATTAGCTATTTAAAGGGTTGTTTCCTGCTCTGTGGAGCTAAGAACCTACACTGCAATTCTCCCTTACACCACCAGTTCTGCAAGGCCATATATCAGCATTATTAATATGATTTACAAGTGCTACAGATGTTCTCCTTAGGGGCAGCTCCATGAAAACATCGACAGACTTCTAATAAACAGACCCAGATCCATCTGTTAACTTGTTTGAAGCATTTCACTGTACAGAGCAGAACCAAAGTGATTCATTAGAGAAAATATCTTCATCAACAACCTCCCCTATACACTTCTTGTGCTCCAACACTTTCTCCTACTTAACTTTTAAATTTGTTTTTATGTATTCAAATGATTAAAGTTACTATTTTGAAAAAAAAACCAGATTCATTTCAGGACAAAAAGCATTACAAGTGTAGTAGAAATGGATGAGCTGCCACTGGTTTAAATCATGATCTGGGTTTACAACTACAGCACTGCACCTTTCCCATGCTAAGTCCACCTAAAATCAATACACGACAATCAAGTCAGTTTAAGGGGATGAAGGATGAAATGAAAGGGATTGAATTACCATGACATAAATATACTGCTTGTTAGCTGAGCCACAGTAACGTTAGACCTGCTAATGGGGCAGGGTAAGAGCCCCACACACCGAGGGAATTACTGCAGCTCTGCAGGCAGAGCAGCACTTGTTCCACCAGTCACCCTCCCATTTAAGACCACCACTCATCCCCTGTGCACACTCCCACCAGCTTGGCTTTATCTGTTTCCAAAACAATTGAAGTGCCCTGTGTTTGAACAAGCACATTGTCCCGGAATAACTCCGTGTGTTAACTTAAAGCAAACACAGCCACACAAGTACAAAAGGCTCTATGGGCTCTACTACTTCCGATGAAAAGTGATTTTGCTAAGGTTGGGTAGATCCATAAACTTGCTCAGCTATGCAAGGAAGTTCCAGGTCAGCTGAGGTGTGAACAAACTGTGGTAGTTAAGCTGCTGTCGCTCCCTTAGAGAGCATCAAAGCAGTTTTTGAGCTTGAATTAAATCCCCAAACGGTCTGCAAAAAAAAGGAAAAATTTGGATCTTAGAAGTCTATTACCCCTCCCTATGCAGGGAGCAGAGGCTGATCATTCAGGAAAAGGGGGGAAGGTGCTCCCTGCTGCCTCAGACCCCCAGGGAAGAGTGCTGAGGGCAGATGGACAGGAGGACACAAGCTCCCCAGGACAGCTCCTGCTGAGAGCACCCACGGCTTAGAGCACAAGCCCTAAGCTGCTCAGAGCTCCTGCATATGGATGAAGCTCAAGTCCAAGGAAATATGACCATGACAGTGTGGACACAAGTATCCCAACTGATTCCCACGTGGCTTGTTCCTGCTCAGGAAAGGAATACACTTTCAGCACACTGGCTGATCCAGAATGCTCCCACTCACTCAGGCAAGCACTCACTCCAGGGGAAACTCAGAGGAGCATTCCCTCTCTCTTCACTGTGAAGTGCTGCACTTCAACATTATTTCACAGACCCTGAGCACGACTGTAGCAGCAACAGAAAAGCTGCAAAAAGCAGTGCTTTCCAGGAAGGAACAGCAAAAAGCAATGCTTTCCAGGAAGGAAGAGCATCCTCCACTAAACTCAGACACAATTCTTACACATGTGCTCCGTTTACCACTTTCACTACACTCACAGCACAACACACTTCCTAAACCAGCCTTGCTAAGCAAAAAGGCAGCTACATCCTACAGCCCCTCCCAGCAAAAAGCTCTGGACTGCTAACTCTGCACTTGCTTGTAGCCAAACCAATGGAGCAGGGCAGTTTTAGAAAACAGATTTATCTCAGCGTGGCCATATCGATGGGTTTTGAGAACAGGAGATCACCAGCCAGGCACCTTTTATGATGTTACACAAGGATGAGCTGAGCAGTTGAAAAGACAAAGTACCAGCAGGAGAAATGTGCATTCTCTTCAATCCAAGCAGGGTTTGGTTACAACAGGAGAATCAGTCACAATGAAGAACATCTCAGCCTGTACATCTGTGGCAGTACATGCTCTGCATGGATGTCAGTGCAGCTGTGTCAGGAAAGCTCTCCAAGTGCAGACTTCAAGAGTGGAACTTTTGTGGAAAAGTGGAACCTTTTTTTTTTCCCAAGAGAGAACACCCTTTCCTGCCCCTGCTTCTCTCTCTTTAAAAGAAAGTCAGGAGCAAAGAGGACCATTCCCAAAGCAGACAGGTATCAATCACATCCAAGTCGAAATCTCAAAGTCTGACAGTAAATGGGATCAGTGCAGATAGGGAAATTTCTTCCAGATCTGTCTCTCAAGCACAGAAATTTCACCTCAGATTGTCTTTGCTACCCCTGTTGCAATGGTGGTGGAGAGGAGAAAACCCTGCTCCCAGGAAAGAAGAAAAACAAACTCCTCCGACCAGGTCATCCACGCTGCTGAAACCCTTCCAAATATGACAACATCTACTGAAAAGAGACCAAGGCCTGGAAAGGTGCATAAGGAACCCAAAATAGAGGTGAGTAGTTTCTTCAGTCAGTATCTCATCAAGAAGAAGGGAAAAGGACTACTAGAAAACACAGCACATTACAGAGAATTTCTGCACTGCTGTCCAGAAGAATTTGCATCCTTCCAACACTGCCTTTAGCAACAAGTGGGTTAAAGAGTTTGCGTGCCACAAGAAGTTTTTCACCTCCAACAAGCACTAATGATTGACAAAACAACCCTGATGTCGCAGTAAGATCCTGTGGAATGAGAAGCTGGAGATGCACAGACCCTTCCAAAATGTCCTGAGAGCTCACTGAGCAGCACAGCACACAATGGCTCCCTCCCAACTCCCACAGCTCCACTGCTTGCAACAGGGTTCTGGGCTACTACTGAACAATAATGTGGCAAATTGAAATAAAACAAAACCAAATCCAAAAAAACACAACACCACGTACAAAACAAAACATATGGCTCATGGTAATGACTGGGAAACCCACTGAGGATTAATGAATTTTGCAAATTAGCAAAGAAGGAGCAACCAGGATTAAAGAGAAACAATCAACAACACTGAGATGCAAAACACTCTCTGTTCATTTATTTAGCAAAGTGTAGTTCTGCCTGCACTGAAAGCACCTGATAGCTTACCAAAGAAGACAGAGTAATATATTTTGTAAAAGTAATTAAGCCTTTGAAATACGAGAGCTCAGTACATCACTCAGCTGCTGCCGAGGAGAGGGATTTGACTCCCAAGTTGTTTGTGCTGTCAACAAGAGCGATCAGGCTCCCAGATTACTCCTGGGAGGAGGAGTGAGATTCTAGGAGTGCAGCAGGGCTTGGCTGCAAACCCACACCCCACTGCACAGGAGCCTCCCCTCGAAGGGAAATGGTAAATATTAAACAGCATCATTCAGAACACGCAGCAGGTAAAAGATGTTCCTGGGAAAACTCTGGGAAGCCCCAGCCCAGCGTGTGCACTGCCTTCAGCCTCCCAGGGACAGACCCTCAGGGCAGGCAGGCTGCACCCCTGGCCTGCCAGTGAGGTTTGAGGATACCAAAAACCCCCATTGGACTCACTCCATCTTAAGAGACGAGTTTTAAACACGGAGTTCTTAACTCAGCAAAGAGGCCTCTTGCAGGATTATTAAGAACTGTGATTTGTGTCACTGTACACATCAGTGCAAAGACACAAGCAGCTACGAAGCCCACAGAAACACTTGCACTTGCAGACACTGACTAATAACAAAATCAGCCTTCTTTAAGACAGTGCAATGGCAAGGCTGCTCAGCACGCTCACTGAGCTGGAACTCAGACTTCAACATGCTTTTCCTCCAAATACTTATTAAATGACAAGAACTAAAGTTTTTGTAAGCACTTTGGTGCTTAAGTGACACCAGTTTTATTTCCAGAAGCCTAGTTTTTATTTGAAGATAACAGAACAAACACTCCAGAGTCAGCTTTGAAAACATCCCTCAGACACTTCACATTGCACGTGCATTCTTTCTTAATTTAAACTCTGCATGCATAGGTCACTACAACTAAAAAGCTTTTCACTGCCATAGCTACTGTCTCAGCACTGAAGAGACAATATTGCAATCAAGCTTATGCTGAAGATTCTACAAGACAGTTACCCCCTGCCCAACCCTTTTATTAAACATTGTCTCAAAACACTAAATAAGCATAAGTATTTTTATCCAGACTGAAGAGAAAGAAATACACAATCTTAGCATTTCTTCTTTCCAAAAGGGAAGGCTTTGAGGTCTGGAGTTACTCTGCTTCAGCAGGAGCCTCCCAGGGTATTATTAAAAACTCCCCAAACTTCTGTGCTAAAAAAATGAGCCAGGCAGCAGTGTGCCAGTGCTGTGATCTGCAGATCAGGAGGCAGGACCTGCATGCACAGAACACTCAAGCAGTTAGGGAGTTGTAAGCAATACAGATCATGGCTTTTTCTGCTTGTAAAGCAACCAAACTGCTTTGGGGACTTCTTGTTTGTTTTGATCAATGCATATTTATTCTGCACTTGTCACCCAGATCCTGCAGCACATATGGTAGTCACCAAGTCCCCTCTAATACCTTGGCTTAGCACTGTGTGAATTAAAGACAACAGTTTCAGCTTTAAAACTAAACTTCTAGTTTCATGTAGACACACCCCCCAGCACACTCACACTGTACACATTACAAAAATTAATAAGCATATTAAAAACGTGCTTCTCTATTCCCAGCAAGGAACAGCAGGTGTGCTTTGCTAATTATGTCAGCTCCTAACCTGCTATTATTTACCAGTGTCAGGGAACTTAAGATGTAACAAAAAAAACCAAAACAAAACAAAAACCAAAAACAAAAAACGATCCCAGAATCTACGTATAGAAGTTTGAAATATTAGTGAAGCCATCACATTTGCTCATCCAAACAAGTTTATTTTAGTAACTTTTGGCTCCTGAAAAATCAACAGAAAGGAACATCCACGCTCTGGGACTGTCACAGAACATTTACCCCGAACCTGACAGAACACATTCTCCACGTTGTCAAAAGTCAATAGTGGAGGAAAACGCGTTCTGAATTAACACCCTGCGAGCCCCAACCACGTAAAGACGCGCACAGACCCGCGACCCGAACACTACAGCTTTGTTTGAAAGTGAAACCAAGCAGGCTACAAATAATGCTCTATCCCCAGCGCCCAGGGAGGTGCCAGACCCAAACAAGAAGTATAAACGGAGGAGAAGGACGGCTGAGTTTTGAAGTTTTACATTTTATTATCGGTAGCATTATTTATAGCGTGACACTTCTATATATAAATCTGCGATCTGCGTTTCTTTTTACATCTAGAAAGCGTATCAAGTTTGGGCAGCGAACCCTTGGGTTTCCATTTATTTGCAAAAGTTTGGTAAACACCGGATATTTACACGAGCGGAGCAGCTGGGTACACACACACACACAACAAATAAATGCATGCGGACGCGGACAACACGCGAAACGCGCACTTTCCAGCCCATCATCCGCTGCCTGCTCAGACCTTTTTCCAGCTCCCGAGCCAGCGGCGGGGCTGGGGAAATGGCCGGAGCGGGCGGGCGCTGGCCCAGGGCTGGGGCCGCCCCGGGCTCCGCTCCGCGCCCGAACGACCGCGGAGCCCGGGACCGCGCACGGCCGGCACGGGGCTGGAGGCTGCCTAGTCCCCCCCACCTTCCTCCGCGCTTTTTTTAAATTTTTTTTTTTCCTCCTCCTCTTCCCTCCCTGTTTTTTTTTCTTCCCCTCTTTCTTTTTTTCGTTGTTTTCAAGAGCGCCTGAAGCCCTCCTTTTCTTCGCCCCTAATTTTCCCCTTCAAAAGATGGCGGGCAGAGAGAGCGATCGAGGGAAAGCGAGCGAGAGAGGGGGAAGAAGAAGAAAAACCAAAAAAAAAAAAAAAAGAGAAGAGAAAGAAAAGAAAGCAAGCCCGTCCTGCGTTGGGGCGCGGGGCTCGGCGGGGCCGCGGCTGCGGCCGGGGCGTCTTCGGGCGCTCGGCGAGAAGGGGAGGGGGAGCAGAAGATGGAGAAGAAGCGGCAGAAGAAGAAGAAGAAGAAAAGGGTGGGCAGGAGCGGCGGGGCCGGGAGGAAATCAATGGCCAGGCTGCAGCCAGCCCCGCCGCGCTTTGTTACAATTGTGGCGGCGCACAAAGGCTGCGGGGCCGCGGGGAGCGACGCGGGGCTCTCGCAACAAGAAGGAGCAGAAGAGAGGAGGAGAAAAAAAAAATTAAAAAAAAAAAATCAGCATTGGCCTTTCCCAAGTGGGTTTTGCTTTCCTCCCCCTTCTTCCCCGGCCCCCCTCCCTCCAGAAACCATGGCCCAGTGCTAGCAATGCACACCCAAGCATCTAACAAATAAAGGGAAAGATTAAATAGATTACTTTGCCCCGGCAGCTCCAGCAACGTTTGCCTTACAGTCCCTCCAGTTGCTCTTCTTTTTATCCTCGGCAAGGCAGTATAATAGATGCGCTACAGCGCCCGAGCGCTCATGCGCCGGGCCGCAAGGCCATGTGGGCACCGTAGTCCCGGCCCGGGCCGGGCGAGAAGCGGCGGCCGCAGCCCGCACTACAAGTCCCAGAAGCCGGCGGGTCCCCCCCGGCCCCCCGCGCCCTCCCCGGAGCGGCGGGCAGGGGACGGCGGCGGCAGGGGTGATGCCCCGGTCAGCGGCGGCGGGGCCGCCCAACGCGGTGTGCCCCGCGGGGGAAGCGGCCGGCGGGGCCGGGCGCGGGGCACCCGCGGCACGGAGCCGCGCCGAGCTGGCGGCGGGCGGGTGTCCCCCGGGCAGACATGGCCGGGGAAAATCCCGGCTTCCCCCGGCCGCCCGCGTCGCGCCTCCCGAGGTACGAGCGGAGGCTGAAAAGTGCGCCTGGAAACGCGCGTGGGAGCCACGCGTGAGATGGAAATCACAACTGTTTTCGCCCCCCCCCCCCTTTTTTTTGTTGTGTTGTTTTGTTTGTATTTTTTTTTTAATCGCGGTTTGCATTGGGTAATGCGCTCTCGCAGGTATTACGCAACAACTAATACGAGCTGCAATAAAAATAGCCCGCCGCCGATGCACGCTGGAGTAGCGAGCGGCCAAAAAAAATCCATCAAGAAAACCACAGCCCGATGTAGTTTGCACTGGTTGGTGTGTTTCATAACACTGTCAACTGCTGAAAACAACAGAAATTAATCTAACGTATACAATAAAAACAATGTGAATTTCACCAGCACACCACCATAAAAGCATCAACAAACATCAGCGCTGTTAAAAACACTTCCAAGTAACACACAAGCACAGCCCATGTCCTAAAGCAAATCCACAACTGCAAACAGAAGTTAAAACAAAAAAATTGTTATAAGCCAAAATATGATTGAATTGCTGCAGAAAAAAAAATATATAATAGAGCTGTTGGAAAATAAATGAGGGGAACATTTGAGTGCCAATATGGAATAAGGCAGAGTGAGGGGATTTCTCTGTGGACACGTGTGCCAGCAGAGGCTGCCACGCTGCTGCTTCAGACAGCCACATGCTGATGCCAATTAATAAGTCAGTTTATTGTAACCATAAGGTGAAGGCAGTTTTACTAAAAGACCTTATTTCCAGAAGATTAGCTTTAGAAAAACACGACCAATGGGACTGAAGTTTCTCCAGAGGTATGATATAATCAGAAAGATTGTACAGGCTTAAGAGAATTCTATTTAGCCAGGCTTGCAGCTGCCTCAGGATGGAACCAATATTGTGCACATGCCTTAGCCAAACTTCCCCAAAAAAGGGCTTTTTGGCACTCAACTTCAAGGCTTGTGCAAATTCAGGAACCAGAGACTTGCTCACAACTCCACCACTGTTGCATATATTTGCTAAAGCAGCATTTGGTGTCTCTGCACCAACACCCAAACCCCACTCCAGGTCAGTGTGGGGGACCTGGGCTTCCTTCCTGCCAGCTGACCCTTTTGACTTGACCAGCAGGTACCCCAAAGTCACCTTTCCACCCAGAGTACGTGGTCTCTGCAGGAGCACAAAGCATAAAAGCTGTAAGAAAAAAATACATTCTTGGTCTACTTAAGGAGAACCACCTTCATGAGCTATGGTTCACAAGCCTGATTGCCAAAAAGAGAGGAAATCCCTTTGAAACACCACCTGAACTCTGCTCTGCCCACAAGTGTCCTGAAGTGCAGATACCTGGGAGCAGGGGAAGGACTTTGAGCACTTTTTACCATTGTTCTGCTCTAAGCCCATTTTCAAGGCAGTCTAAAAGACCACAAGTGTATGAAAGCATTGAGAGCTGAAGGGAGCCAGGGCAGTTCTTTTGACTGCACTGTCCTGCTCCAGGATGTCCCTGATCCCACATGGATAACCAGAGCAGGAATTCCTGAATGCCATAACATACACAGACACCAAATCATGAGCATGACCAAAGAGCCCCTAAATGAAAACTGCTGCAGCTCGAGGCATGGGGGCTGGGAAAAGTTGGCAGCTGAAGCTTTCCAAGGGAGGGGGCAGGGAGAAATGGGCTGAGTATTCATTATGAACACTTGGAAAAATGGACTCCATGCACTCTAAAGACTCCTTTTCAGCGAAACCATAATCTGAAAGCTTGGGTTTTAAAAGTATTTATATTTCAGTTTAAGACAAACTCCTGCAACAAAAGAAGTGTTGGCTGCAATGTGAGACTTGGCAGAGCCACAAGGAACTGAACAGGGGTCTCCTCATGCAAAGTGTTCAGCAACCCCAGCAACAGACACAGAGCAGAGAGAAATTGGGGAGTGCAGGCAGAAAGGCAGAGGCAAGAGAAGCCAGAGAGCAGAAACTCTGTGAGAGCATTAAACTCTCCAAGCTAGCAGGGCACTCACCTCACAGTGAATGTGCACAAGTTCAATATTGGAGTTTGAGCCTCACTGCAAATCCACTGTCAGGAGCACAATGATGAAGGGTGCATCAAAAAATTAAATCATGCATCCTTTCGGGTTGCATGAAAACTGCAACCCAAAAGGAGTCTCCAGTTACACCTTATCTGCCTTATCTCACCCAGGGTGGGTGTACGAGAGTTTCATCCCAAATTGTCATGTTCATTATGCAGCAGGCTGAGCAGGCAAAACAATTCACGTGGGAAACTGTCCCCAGAGATTTCACCACTATCAGCTTTCAACCTGGAACACAGCAGTCACTCACACACCTACCTGTAGGCCTGCAGACTTGTGCTTGAAGAACCCTGCTGCATCCTCCAAGGGATTAGGAAAGCAAACATATTTTGGGATCCCTAAAGCCTTCTTTATGCAAGGCAGTGAGTTTAGATAATGGTTTAGCCAAACAGGCACAGGCTGACTCAGTTTGAATAAGCCCCTTAGGAGGTACAGTGAAATCAAATCAGAACAATTTAAGCTCAAGTTACCAAAGCCAAAGTAAAAGCACTTCAGCCGAGGAAGAGTTGTAATCTTTAAATTAAATTCTGATTTTGTCACACAGTTTCATGCACAAGATGTAACAGGCTGCCTCTTCTGAGGCACCTTAACACCAGCTTCTCCATAAAACAGAAACCTACAGCAGCAGCTCTTAATTTTCCCTGCTCCCCAAGCTCAGAGGAGCATCCTAGATTCACCCAAAGCTTCTCAATTGGCCTCTGTGGTCTTTTATGCTGCACCTCCAGTTACCCAATTAGTGTCTTATTAATGAACATCTGCCATGTATTTATTCCTGGCTGTTACAGTACTTTTAACCTGTAATGCCCAGTGGTACCTACATCCATCTCAGAAGCTTTGTGCACAGGTTTCAACAAGAAAAATGTTATTTGTGCAAAACCAGAGTGGTTTTCAGGGCTGCTAAATACTGCCACTGCTCTGGAGTGTTGAGTGTTTTCAAACCAAGAGGGGATGGAAGCAGAAGAGGAAATACTCTGTGGGACAGATGAGTTCTGGGAGGATGGTGCCTTGTGTGGCTGCACCCAACAGTATTTAGCAGGAATCAGGGACTGCTGGGAACACCAATTTTTCTGATCTTTGCCATAGGTACTTCCTGCAAGCTTCTGATTTTCACCTGTGCCTGTTCCACTATCAAAACCACAGATTCCCACTGCAAGGGGAGATTACATGACTCAGATCACTCCAGTGTCAGGCAGAAGGGTGTTGAACACAAGGGGATAAATGCTCTTATTACAACAGAGAGTCATCTTTTCCAATGATCATCTTCAGTGTAGTGGCAGGATTTCCTCGATTGAGTAAGTGTTATTCAGTAAGTTAAGGATGACAGGATTAGGGCAGAGGTTTGAAACAATAATTGCAGTTTGTTCTTCTGTAGTACCTTTCATCTGTGGAATTCACAACAATGCAATAATCCTCCTAACAGCTTTTGTAAGTAAGGAAATATTATGACTCCTGTTTTTCAGCTGAGGAAGCTGAGAGGGAATATGATGATGCAGAGAACCATGGGCAGAGGCAGAATTGGGACTCAGCTCTTCTGACTCATTCTTTGTAGTGCTGAGAGCCTGGACACACCAGTTGGTGAGGCCACCCTGGCTTCTCACTCCCAGGAATGTCAGTGCCTGCAGGGCTGTTGGATCTTCAGTGTTCCCTCTTCATCTGGAGAGGGGTGAGCAGAGCCCCCAGACTGGGAAGCCAAGAGCCAGGATGTCTACAAGCCCCAAAAGCACAGGAATGTGCTGTTTGAAGGGAAGACAGGAAAGAACTGAGCAACCTAAGACCTAAAGGATCTTGTATATGTTTATCTGCAAAGAAAAGTTTTGATTGTGATTTGAATGTGATCTGGAGTCAGCCAATATCCAGTGGAGGGTCCAGAGGAGATTTAAATAAAGTTCTTCCAGATTGGAAGTTCTCAATCCAGTGAAGCAGTGATGAAGTGTTTCCACTGCAATGGACAGCCCACATGGAGACAGCCATGGAGAGCCCACAAAATCTTCTGTCTGACTGTGATGTGTCTTACCAGGAGGCAGCAAAAAGCTTTATTTGGAGGAGCTGGAAACTGAAAGAGCAGAAAGAAAGAGGCAGAACAAAGGCCTAAACTGTTATGAGAGAGAAGAAAAGGACATGAGCACAGAATGTGGGAATGGAAAAGAAACTGCCCAGCCAACATTGCTGCATAACTTTGGCCATAGTTAAAAATTTTCTTTTGGAAATTACCTGCATCTGAATGGTTTTGTTGGACATTCAGGGTGATGTGAAGACCCAGCACCTGCTGTGAACACAGTGTTTGCACAGGTAAGCAAGGCTGTGAATATGTGTGTGTTACTGAGCTGGCAGTTTAAACCAACAGACACTGGAACACGCCAGACTTCAGCTGACCAGAGCCCTAAAGGATTCCTCTGTGTTTCCTTACTTTTCCTCCTGCTCCCTCACAAAGACTGGAGAGAATGGCAGAGAGATCCTCTAACAGTAACACCTTCAAACACCTTGATCTGTAAATGACAGTGAGTAATAAATAGATTTCACTAAAACTATTTCAGAGGTGTGAGTGAATTGTATTGAACTGGCCGCTCAGTGTGGCTGCAGCCAAAGAACAAAGCTCCTGATTCACACGAGTGCTGAGAACCTGCTGCTCCAGTTGAAGTGGCTGGGAGAGGCAGGCTGTCATCACGTCTGGCAGTCAGAGCGGGTGTGACTCAGGCTGGGCTCTCAAATCA